TTTATTTGCTTCTGTAAATAGGTGAGCTGGGACGAAGGGGAATGCAAATAAAAGGAGGACTGCTGAACCGCGTGGAGATAAACGAGCTCTTTCATCTCCCGTCTCACGCCCAAGGAGCGAGCGCTGCGTGACAGGGCGGAGGGCTGGTTTCGCCGACACCATCCAGGTTTTCAGAACAGCACACACAGCACAGACGTGAGAGGGGACAAAATTCAGGCCATGAGCTTTTTAGATGGGCTGGCATTTCCCAACGCCTGTTAAGAAACAACCCAAGCAGCGTCCACGCCGATGACCCCGAGGGCTGTGATCAGTACCTCTCATTCTCCTCAAGCCGCCTCTCTCCTTCCCTCTCTCGCCTCTGGAGAGGAGTGAAATAATAGATGGGAATTCAGCAATTCCCCTGCCTCAGTGTCACACGCACAGGATGAAGGGTGCGGGTCTCCCTGCTCCCTCTGCCCGGGGAGAGGATGCTGGAGTCCCCTGCAGGACTAGTGGTCCAGGGGCATCTGTGATGGCTTTAACAGGTCAAAGAAAACGATGGTGGAGAAACTCCAGCCGTGGCAGCTCCTCGCTGTGCTGTGAGCAAGCTCTGCTTTTCGGCTCTGTACTTTTGGCACCCTCTTCTGCCTGGCCTGACGCCTGCAGGCACCGGGAACACCACGTACCTTCTCCTCCCCAGGCGAGAGGAAGGACCCAGACGCTGGCTCCGGCGTTTCTCCTGGGCCTCCTCTTGTAGGGGAGGTGGAAAATGGTAAAGCTCACGGCATCGAGGGTGCGACCATCCCTCCTCCTCTCCCCATCCCCACCATGAGACGTGGCATCTCTAGGTCTCAGCCAGATGAGATGAACCCCACAGCACCCAGGGTTTGCTGGAGCCGTGGAGCTGTATCAGCTGGTGATGGAGACTCCCTTCCCCGAGAGGGCAGAGGCAGCCACGGGGCTGCCATTTATCTCGGCTCACGGAGCTGAAGTGGCCAAGAGAAGTGGCTGTGACACTTCCTCTTCTTGTAAAGAGATGAAAAGCCTTGCGTGCGTGGGGAAAACCACCCCAAGGAGCCAGAGATCATTATGGCCATACGCCCTTCAGCTGAATGCAAATCTTCTAAGAGAAGGAAAATAAGTCAGAGAGTGCAATGGGTGCAGACTGGAATCCAGATGATAAAAGCAAATGCAAACATTTGATGACAGGTGAGCGATACGTCTGCTCGTTCAGCCTCGGTGCAACAAAGTCAACAGCAGAAAAATAGCAGAGGGGTGGAAGGAAATCAGGCAGAAATCTCAGACTTAAAATTAAATTTATTCAGAAGAAAAAATGACTTTACAAGAGGTTGATGCCGATAACTAAAAAGGAAGATAAATAAAAGCTTGTTACAAAACCTAATGGTTTCTGGCAAGTTACAGAAAAACTGAAGAATTTTACAGTCAATAACCTGCTCACTTTTTACATAATTACAAATTAACATACAGCAATTAGGTTTTACCCTCTTTTTTAAAAATTCTTTTTTTCAACTTTTTTTTTAAAGTTTTTTTTTTTTAATGGGTTCAACATGAAAATGCAAAGCATTTTTAAGTTTTTTACTTCTTTTTCTTTTTTTAAGAAACAAACCAAAAGCAGAGGTATATCAGCTTATTACAATACACCTCCTCAACGCTCTGGGAATTACTCAAGTGCATTCCATATTAGTACAAAATAAACACCAGGCTAAACTTTAACCATAGGCGAACTGAACTGGACATAGATTCATAGATTTCTTTTCTTTTTTTTTTTTTTTTTGAGTCAGTGTTTAATATCGATAAAGAAAATAGTAAAATACTTTAGAGCATGGAAAGGATGGATACCTATAGACAGCTTAAATACATACGAAGCTTATAGCTGTATGCAAAGCAGTGAATGTTATCCTCTTCCCCCCTCCCTCCCCAAGCAATGGAAGCTGAATATATTTGGGCGAAGCGTCAGTGTCAGTGAAAGGTGTGAGGAAGGGAAGGCAGGTGGGAAGGGAGCAGGTGTCTCACTTCCCATCCCTGGAGAGCAGGAGGTGAAGGAGACTCAGCCAGTTCAGCTCGCCTATCCTTAAAACTTAGCTGCATCGCCCCATCACGAACGCATCGCTGATGGCTGCCCCTTCTGACAAACGAAGCAAGAGTTAACGAGCAGCAGGGGAGGTTTTTTATTTATTTAAAAGGGTGCCTTAAATTATGGTAAACTCCCAAACCTGGCCAGCAGGCAGAGTGATTTCCAGAGTTCTGGTTAACAAGGAATGTTTTATGGGATTTTAGCAGATACTCTCTTGTGCCCCCTGCCCAGTCCTCCCTTGCCTCGTGCCACAGATATCCTAGACAGCTTCCTTGGGATTTGGCACCTGATGAACCTCATCTGACTCAGTGGCATTGGGAAGGAACTGGATTTGGGTGTTTCAGCAACAGCTTTGAGATATCCTAGTGCCTCAAGGAAGGTGCAAAGATGATGAGACTCTAAGGATGCTCTTACCTCCGGAAGGCAGTACAAATCCGCACAAGGTAATGGCATTACTGTGCTTCTCAGCAGTGGTCAAAACTTCAAGAGTGAAATCGTCCATCCTCAGCGGTGGCCAGAGCTCCTGCCACAGGGATGGCACCTGGGAGGTCTCCCAATGGCCTGGACAGAAACTAACTTAGTGCATGGAAAGGGCCTCACTTCACTGATTTGGTTGCATCCCACACACACCTCCTTTGCTCTGGGTTTCCTCAAGAAAAAGGTGGTGGAGGGCAAACTGGTGGTGGGACTGCTTCCCCACCGGCAGCAGTACCAGCATGAGCTCTCCTAGGGGATATACCTGAGCCATCACAAGCCAGTTCCTCTGGTCCTGCCACTCACTGTCTGCAGCAGAACCGTAATCAGATTCACACCCACTTGGGTCTAAAAAGAATACAAAAAGCTTGGCCCTTCCTCCTCTCCTGGGGTAAAACCAAACCAAACCAGGAATACGCCTACTTGCCGCTCGGATTTTGCTGGGGAGGTGCAGAGGGGGGAGCAATGGCAAAGCTGATTGTCTCCATGTAACCAAAATGAAAAGGGACAAGACCAGTTCCATTTAAAGTGCTTTATGGCATCAAACTGACATCAAGTTACACGTTGAGATGATCGCTTCATTTTGAAGAAGGTAAGGCCAACCCCACACAACTCTGTTGAGTCTCACACCGGTCGCTACAGCTACTCTCCAGAGTCGGGGTGTTCTGGCACCCCCACCTAATACTGACCACTTCTGTACTTCATCTGAGCCCGTGCTCCCAGTTCCTCAGGTGCTGAAACCCCTTCTGTTGGGCAGTGATAAAGAACAGGCAAAGAAAAGCCCCAGAAAAGAAAGCCTGATGAAACTGTAGCAAAAAAGAGCTCCAAGAGCCCTTGCTGGGTCCTCTTCTCCCTTCAACAACTTGGGCTTTGCACAGACATCCCTGAACCTGCTCCGTGTCCCAGGAATCCAGTGTGAAACAAGGTGGTTTGGGTGCTCCAAATGGGATCAAGGGACAGGCTCTGGGAACCAGAGACAGCATCAGGCTGGGCTGAAAAAATAACATGCTTTCAACAACTGCAGGATGGAGACCAGGCGTGGAACCAAAGTGAATGCAGTTTTAAGGCCAGGAAGAGGAAAAGCTTCGGTGCTGTGAAGCTGGGACAGACAACAGAGCAGGGTGGGAATCTGACTCTGGGACCCTATGCCAGGCTTTTCCAAAGAAAACCTGAGAAGGGGAAAAATAAAAGGCTAAAGAGATAAAAACAAGCCCTCACCTTCCTAAAGGTGAAAGAAGGAGGAAGCAGTGTGGGAGTAAAGACTTCATTCCAAAAAAGTGAATCACGCAGTAACATACATCCTCCAGGGACAAAGGTCTTCCACCAGAATTTAAGACACAAACAGCTTTGATATTTGTGGTCAGTCTATTTCTGACTCACGCTCATGGTTTCTTTGACAAGGACTCAGGGGGACCTTAGGAGATGACTTAGCAAATACTGTTTTCACTTAGGGCACTGAACGCTCTTTTTGATTTGCAGGAAGAGATGGTCCAGGCCAGGCAGAGACTCAGCCCTGGGTCATGCATCTCCCTTTTGATGCCCTTCTTGGAGCCATGGGACATTTCCATGTCATGAATTCAAGATGTGTTGGGACGGGCAAAAAGAGAGCGGGATGAAAAGCAAAGCTCACGCTGGCAAAGGCTCTTCCAGACTGAGGGGAACTCTCAGAAATACCGGGGACCTGATCTCTGTTTACACAACAGTAAATGAGCCATGAACTGCTTTGGTTTCCAAAAAATTCAGCTTGGCACATTCATTTTTGCAGATGTACAAACAGCAGGGCAGAAGTTATTTTGTGAAATCGGTGTTTTTCTTATGAAAAAGATAACACCCCAACACCAGCACGTGCCTCCTCCAACTCCTTTCAGGTTCAGGAGAAGAGCACAGCCTCGATCTCCCTGGACAAGTGACTGGACCCTCACAAGAGGCTCCATGTTTTGCTTTTTTCCTTTTTCCCCCAAGAGGTAGCAGAAAAAGTAAAGAAAATATTTAAACGAGGAAACTAGCTGATAGGTGGAGTCTTGTCTGAAGTCACTGCTGCTTTTTCCAGACTTTTTTTGGCCCAAAGCTGCTCTGCCGTAAAGAAAGCTCTCAGTTGCAATCGTGTAACTCTGGGCATGGCACGGGCTGCTAAGCAGCACTGCCCAAACCCTGGTTTTGCAGGAACCAGGGAAATAAGAACATTTGTTTTACCAATCCCTTGGTAAAGAGAACAAAAAAAAAAAAAAAAAAGGGAAAGAAAAAAAATAACAAACCACCCCTCAAACCTCCAAACAAAAACAAAATAAAAAGTAAAAAGAAATAAAAAAATAAAACCAAGTAAACTTCTTTTTAAAAAAGAACTCTTTCAAATAAACAGAAAGATAAATAGTTTTTGCAAGCCCTGCTTGCAAATAAGAAGAAGCACCAAATAATATTAAAAAAAAAGCAAAATAAAATAAAAATAATTCTCAAAACTTTTTCCTTTCTTCCTTTTTTTTTTTTTTTTTTTTTTGAGTCTTAATAGCTTAGAGAGCTTCCAAAGCAAGCAGGCAGTTTAAGCATCCACCTCACCATCAACACTGATACCCATCAGCACTGAACTCGGGGAAACTGCTGCGGGTTGTGAGCTTGTGAGAAGCCAGAGAGCAAACTGAAATCAAACAATAGTGCAAGAAGAGAAATATATATCTATTTTTTCTTCTTTTTTTTTTAAAGAAAAACTGGTAGGAAAGGAAATGCACTTGACAGCTTCAAACTCTGAGCAAACCCTTGAGTTGTTTGAGGTTGATAGCGTCTTATAACCATTGACAAATCCACTTGGGCAATTCCCCTGAGAGGGTCTGGAAGAACAATAATTTTGGAAAAATGTTTGGCTTCCTGCATTTCTTTTCCCCCGCGGAACACATCCCTCAGAGTCAGCACAGCGAGAGCTGCTCTCAGACATTTCCCTGCTGCTGATGGCAACACAGGGACACACAGACACTTTCAGCCTAGAGCCCACAGCGATGGAAATGGACCTGCCACGCTGGACCTTTGGACCTGTCCCACAGCAGCTTTGACCATGAGAATGTATTATCTCCCCAGAAACAGTCAGTAAGTGCAAGGTATCATACAGGAATAGGAAGAGAAGCCGTCTCTTTGGAGCTCACTCTGCTCCCAGCACTGTCCCCTGACCTGCAACATCTCACTGAAGTGCTCTGATTCTGTCTCATTCTGCCTCAGGAAGGAACAAGGGAAGCTGACAGGATCCAGAGGAACAGAAGCCCAACTTTAACACGAAAAGAAGGGGAAGAAAAATACAAGTAACAGAGCAAAGGTCCCTAAAAGCATACGTTCAGCCATCAGGGTTGTAAAGAAGGGATGTCAAATGCAACTGGAGAACTATATTCTGGCAAAAAAAAAAAAAAATACTTAGGGGGTGGGAAGGAGGAGCTGGAGCTCAAAGAGATTGTGTAAAAAAACATTGCTAAGAGTTGTTCCCACTTGAACACCGTTTCCTCTGGCTCCCTGGGGTTGCCTTACAAGCCCATCAAACTTCTCTTTTCTGCATCCTTTTAAATACATCCAAAGACATTCTGCTGGATTCCGGAAACAGTCTGACATTTAAATCCTCTACCCCATGGAAATCTTTCAGAATCATTTTAAATTCTACTTTTTTTTTTCCCCTCTGAATTTTTGTTTTGAATGCTGTGACTGCTTCCTGGCGTTAAGGTACCTTTCTGAAACCAAACAGTCCATATACCACGAGCACAAAAGGGGCGCGCGAGTCGACGGTGTTACAATTGGAGCACTAAGGGCAAGATACTTAATACCTACAAGCTCCCTGAAAGTCATCAGGTATCTCCTATCCCCATGGGCCGAGCTTAGCTTGGCTGTACAGACTGCAAGCATATCCCAGTGAATACATAGATACATATATGTATATGTACAGTATATCTCTATATGCCAGTGTGTACGCACCATTTGTAGAGTCCTAATCTTTTGCTAAATGCTTGCTTTTGGTTCTGTTCCCCAGAAAAGGGGGAATTTGAAGGCACAGACCCCTTAAGGCTATGTTCTCTCATCCTTTAGCAGTTAAGAAGAGACAGAAAACATCTATCCCAATCCACGTAACCCAAGGTTTGCACAGAGAGACAGCACTATCTGCCGGGCAGTCAGCCTCTGTGGTGAGAACTCACGCAAAACCACAGGAAAGAGGCCCTTTCCCACCACTTAGCAGACTTCATAATATGTTTTATTTGAAACCTCCAGATGCTTGTCAGACGCAGGCACCAGCAGTGTGCTGTGGAGCGGGCAAGGAGATGTTGACGGTACCAATGCCGAGAGTTGACCAATGGAAGTGTCCGTGTGCTCAGCAGAAGATCTCCTCGCCCTCTGGAGGTGCTTCTGATGAGTGAGAATCTGCAGTAGGAAAAAAAAACAAAACAGGTTGGAATGACTATGGGAATACAGGAATACAGCAGGCAAAGCGGGACTCCGCATGCATGGAAACCCCGCTGTCTGCCAAATCCACTGGGGACCTTAAAAGATGTCCAGGTCCCTGATGAGCTACCATGAAGTTACATCTTGTAATTGGGTGAGCTTTCCTGTGCACAAGTTGGAAAACAGCAGTGAGTTAATATGGATAAAGCCAGTCATCTGAGGGCGTGAGATCAAGTTTCATGTGGGTCAGAGGTTTGAGGTGCACAACTGAGTCCTAAGGGGATGCAAAACTACCAGAGGAAAAAAACCCATACATGTTTTTTGGGTTTTTTTTTTTTTCAGATCAAGAGACAAGATAGACTGGCTGGAGGGGAAGGGAGAGGCCACCAGAAGGGTTGTGAGTATCACTTCCAAACTACCCCAGAGTTAAAGCAGACAGCAATGCCCCAGGGGCTGCAACAGCCAGGAGCAGCCCAGCAACAGCTCCCGACAGCACATACACTGAAGCAGGACATTTTCTTCCTCGAAGCATAGGAAGCTGAAAAATAAAGGGAGAATCCAGCCCGTGGAGGCTGCTCAGGATGGGATGGGAAAGAGGAGGAGCAGAGTGTGTCCCTCTGACAACCCCAGGGGCTACAGAACAGGCAGAAAAGCCCACTGAAGATCACTTCAACCTGGGAACTCCACTCATCACAGCTGATCCTCTCCATCCCTGTGTTACCATCCACATTCAAGGCTAGATTTTGTGGCTTCCACAAGTTTGCTGGCTGGAGAGAAACGCAAGCTCACCGACCCTGAAAACCCACCTCTGACCTCCCCAGACACTCACCAGACTGTTGGGAGCGATGCCCCCTGCCCTTTTTCTTCTTTTCCTTCTTCTCCTTTGGTTTGGCTAAACTGAAGAGACGGGTAGGCATCTGGGGCTGGTCCCCAGCTGCCTTGTTAGTCTGGTTTATTGTGCTAAGCAAATGGAAAGTGCTTTTCTCTTTGTGTGTCCTTGAAAGACTGTTCCTTTTGGGGGAGACAGACAGTTCTGCGTCAAAGTGCCCTTGTTTGGGAATGGAAGGGCTCTTCTGCTTGGAGTCATCGATGCTGGACTGGGAGGGGACTCTTGCAAGTTTTTCATGTAGACTTGAAACCTATAAAGGAAAAGAAAAGTGTTTCATTGGGGCATGACAGAGGTTGTTCTTGTGAACATCCAGCCCGTTCACCAGCTAAAAAGTGGTCCCCATCCAAGCAAAGCAAAGAGAGAAGCAGCCTTCTCTGTTTAAGACAAAGAAACGAGGCATATAAAGAGCAACGCTCCGGTATCTTTTGCTCCTACATGTACTGTGCTATGTATCAACAAGCCAAGGGCAAATATTCTCTAAGATCTCGATACCAAGACTCACCCTGCATCGTTCGCACACACAGAAGGTGGCAGAAGGCCAAGGAGAAGCGTGCCTCTCCGGCAGGGGAACGCCAGCACACACCACCGGAGCGGCGTGTGTCAAAGGAAGCCTTCCCAAGCCAAAGATGAAAGCAAAAACATTTTTCCTGATTTTTTTTTTTTTTTTTTTCCTAACGGCTGTCTCAGGATGTAATTGAGCCTGCACATTCAAAGGGAAGATCAAAACAACAGCTCAACAAAGCCTCACCGAACCCTCTATTAATAGCTCTGAAATGTCAGTAAGATCCCTGCCTCGAAAAGGTGCTTCCTTCTCCCGATCCCCCAGGCCTCGCAGTTATTTTACCTCTCAGCCTCTCCCATAGCACTCATATCCCTCGCATGTCTGCGTGTGCTCGGTGCTGGAACAGCTTCTCTCTGTGCTTGGAAAACTTCTGGCCTGATGAGGAACCAGGGTGGGAGGGAGCAAGCCCTCCCCTGGTGATTTCCTTTTCAGAGCTCACTGCCGAGCTCCGCAGTTAGTCCATTCAGGCACCCAAAATCATTTCCATTCCACAATCCGACATTTATAAACTAATTTTGCTACAGCTCTAAGCAAATTATATTCAGAATTAGCGAGTTACAAACAAACAAATGATCAACAACAGGCTTAAGGTTCAAATTCAGCCCATCTTTTGCCAATGGATGCTTGCTCCCCCACCAGCCAGACTGCTGCATAGTTGTTAAAAAATAAACCCCAGCTTGCTGAAAAATGCACAGAGCAGGATACGCGTGTGGGCTTTCCTTTCTGGTTGTGGGCAGCCAGACACCAGAAACCTCCTGCAGCAGAGGCATTTGCTCACTGAGCCATGACCAGACTGCAGGTGCCAGTCTCTTCAGGACAGGGACAACACCCATCTCTTTGCTAGGTATCAAGAATGCTTTTGGAGTTGGATGTAGGCGTACAAACAGCCCTCCCCTGCAGTTATCAGCCTCACAAGTGGCTTTCGTGAGAGCTGGAGGGTGCAGGTGACCCACAACGCTCAGGCTGTTTCTGAGAAGGCCGTCTCATCTGCCTGACTGCTCCCCAGAGCTCAGCCCCCACGGGGTGAAGGCCACTGTCAAAGGCAATATTGACCTTCTGGGATTCTGCAAGGCAGCCACCTCCGCTCTGCTGTCTGCCAACACACAGCACAGAAAAGCAGGCAGAGCTCAGGCTGTTGTAACCACCTCCTGCTCAGGACTAGCCAGGCATCCTGAATACACCACGTTGCATCAACACCAGCAATGCCTTGGTAGCTCTGGAGGTGCAAGAAATGCAGCCCTGCATATACAGTGCAAGGAAAGAGCGAGAAATATCAGGCCCTGTGTGTCTAGAGCTGGGCTAGTCCATCATTGCTGGCATGCAGGTGGCCCAGGAGCTGTGCAGAAGCTCCCTGTAGAGCATGGCTTGCCCAGCACCCAGCCATTGGCAGCATTTACCTGGTTGTGGTCAGGCTCCTGCTGCATTTGAGCTAATTGCTCCACATCTTGCTTGAACTGTGCCTTCTCCCTCTCCAGCTGCTTCTGTGCCGTGCGAAGCCTCTCCAGGTCGAGCTGGTAGGAGGCCTTCTTCACTTGCAGCTCCTCTCGTTCCCGCTCGAGATCCTGCCACCCTCTCTGGACCTGCTCCTCTCGCTGGGCCAGGTGGGCCTCCTGCTCCGCCAGCTCCTTCTCTCGGACTTCCCACTCCTTCTCTCTCCTCCGCCTCTCCTCCTGGTGCTGTGTCTGTTGCTTCTTCAGGTTGGCCAACTCCTGGCGCTGCTTCTCCAGGTTGCGCTGCTTCTCCTGCTCCAGCAGCGAGGGTGGCCGGAAAAAGCCTCGGGTCAGAGCCCTCTCGCTCAGAGCCAGCTTCTGGTCCTCGATGTAGGTGTCCTGCTGCAGCACGACGCCCTAGGAGAGAGGGGGCACAAATCACTGCAGCACCCTCTCCACACGGAGAGAACCTCCACCCCTGAAAACCTCAGGGTGCTGTATCCAAACCCCACCAAATTCACAGCTCAGCCTTACAGCTGGGCTACCGGAGGTTGCTGGGAGGGCATCTCCTCCAGCAGCTTCCCAAATTCAGGCGAGCACCAGTTCATTTGGGCAGCAGCTCTTTCCTATGACCTTGCTGGCACGCTGCCTGCAAGCCGGCCGTGCAGGGATGGGACAGGCAAAGGGGAAGGGGAGACTGGGGACGAAGCGCGAGTGGCTGTTACTGGCTGGCAGGATGCATATTTTGGGCAAGCAGCATGCAAAAGCGGGATGAACGGCCAAGCCTACCTGCAAAGCACTGAGCAGCTTATGGAGGCTGGTAATGGATTGGAGGACCTGCTGCGAGAAAACAAAAGCGTTGCTATTAGATCTCCCTGGGTGCCAGGGTACAGGTAAAGCACCCTCCTTTTCCACTGTGACCCACCGGTGGGTCTGACAAGCTGTAGGCCACCCCTCTGTGCCTTCTTTATTCTCGCTCTACTTGCAAAGACTGCATCATCCCCCAGTACACAAATACATCCCTTGGACATCTCTCAGGGGTGCCTTCCATCACCTTCCTCACTCTCCTAGCTGTCAGTGCAGCAGGGGAGGAAAAGTCTGCAGAATCACCAAACAGCACAGACCTCATGGGGACTCCAGGGTTGCCTCTGCAAACCATTTCTCAGCTTGCTCAAGAAAAAGCAGAGAAATTGGGATGAAACCTGGCAGTCCAGTTAAAAATTTCAAGGAAAGAACTTCAAGGGGTAAAAAAAAAAAGTAGTAGTATTAAAATAAGTATGGACTATTTGCACCCTTCCACCCCCAGCTGATCCATGGAAGTCCCACTGCCATTAGACAGAAAGACTGCAATACAGCCAGCACACAAGTACAGCAGGTGTGCTCATGGAGGCTCTCCGAAAATACAGGTAAACACATCCTGCATCAATACAGAGCAAGCTACTTTGGAGTGATGCCCTATCCCTAAATATATTTTTAGCCTAGCTAAAGATGTCTCTGAATCTCTAATATCCTACAATTACTTTTAAGAAGAAAAACCACTGCAGTGTTTGCAATAGTGGTGTGATAGCCAGTGTTAAGGGAACTGCTTCACATTCTGCCATTAATGCTAATTGGGAGTTATGAATGTGTATCAAAGGGAGAATAGAAATCTAATTGCCTCAATTCACTGCACCTGCAACATAAAATTAAACTCCCTCTGTCTGCAGATGCACAATAAATACAGCCCAGTGCATCCTCGTGTAATTAACCCTTGCTGCCTATAATCAGCACATATCATCCTGCTGGCAAGCAGATGACAATCAGTGAATCCCCTGTCTGAACATCCAAGGTTAAACAAATAAATGACACAGTGGGTTCAGCTTAATGTATTTAAAAGTCTACATGCGCTTCAGCAAATGAAATGTATTTTCTTCTACATTATCACCTATTGAGACAAATTCACTTGCCGCTTAAATGAAGGAAACAGCTGAGCAACAGAATCAATTCTTACCTCGTTATTCCTTTTCAACATGAACATCAGATTAGCATTTCCACCCTATGAGAAGATCACAGATTTAATATAAGGACAAATGAGAAATCACAGCAAATGTGTTCTGAAGCTGAACTAATGACAGATACATTAAAGCCCCCTCCATCTTCCATTCTGGGAGAATTCATGCATGTTTTTTAGGCAAGTTAAAATCATATAAAATAAAATGTTAATTAGGTATCATTTTGTAGTTATATGATGGATCGATCCACAGCAAGATGAGGTGCAAGGTTATAGTTGACCTTATCATTTCAATAACGATGCATAATTAAACACATGCTTTAGCTGATCTGCAGACAGATGGCAGAAAACCTGTGCCACAAAGGAATACTACTGATTTGCAATGGTTTTCAAGTCAGGGTTTTAGCTACAGCAGAGCATTTCTGGCTGCATACTTCCAATTTTGTATTTTTAACTTATTAGGATACATTTAATTGCCAAGAAATTCAGACAGTTTTCAAGACTTGGAATGGTCACACTCTTAAAATCTGAACTCGTTGGCAGCAGGCAGATAAACCAAGAGATACCTTCTTTAAAATGCTGTCCGACTCTGTTCTCCGAAGGTCCTGAGCATCATCACCTTCATCTTTCGCTCCACCTAAAGGAAGAAGCCAGCATTGACACTGGTTATTCAACATTTTCAAGCCACAGATGAACTTGCTAATGTCTGAGAAATTTAATACAGGAAACTCAGATGTTTCACAAAAGGGGACACGGAGGTCTTGACACTTTAACTAAATACATTTGCTCCCTATGTATTCATGCCAGCACCAGCAGGAAAAAAGGATCTGAATTCAGATTAGGATTGACTTTGGTTGCAAACAACATGCTGATAAATTCGGTACGCTCCTATTAATTGGTGCTCTGTCTTGCCCCCACACTGCTGTCTACTACCAAAGAAAATTTGCTGAGAAGACAGGAGGCAGAATAAGAGCAGCTGGAGAACAATAACAGTATCATCTCAGGGCATATTACTGCAGGTAGAGTTTCAAGGTCTTTCCTGTCCAAATGCAATTTACAGCTGGGTCAGATATTGCTATGCAATAGCCTGTGTAATTTTATGCTAACAATTTCTTCTTAGCCTTAGTTATCAGAAACCTGTATCTTCAAAGGGACGACAGACTTTTCTTTCTGTCCCCTGGCTGGCTCCTCTCAGTGCTCCTGAGCAGCACTGGATTGACTTGTGGGCCCAAGAGGGCTGCAGCCCTCCTCCTGTGCTGCCCTTCTGCTCACGGGTGGCTAAGGGGTCACACAGCTCTTCTGTCCTCTAGCCCTTGCCAAGACTCTTGCATTCTCCTTGCCAGCTGAGGTGCAGGCCATGGGGAAAATCCACACCTGCAGTGGTGACCTCCTTACTGCCACTCTTCTAGTGATAACTTTTCATAGACCTGTACCTGCAGCAACATGAAGGACACAATACCTTGCACAAAGGCCCTCTCCTCCCACCACCCCCCAGGCAGGCTTTGCTATTAAAAGCTGACCCTCGAGTCCTCCTAACAGACCTTCTCTCCTGCGCCACGTCCTGGGACCTTCCACCTCTTTGCAGGAGGAAACACCTCCCTTCTGCTTTGCTGGAGGGGAGAACGAAGGGGAGTCAGGTTATAAGCCTTGCCCAAAGTTGCACAGGTTGTGAACAGAAGAGCTGGAGATGAAAGCCAGGTTTCATGCCTCCCGGCCTCCAGCTGAACAAACAGGCCCTGCATTCTTTTCCCAAATTCTCCCAAGACCCTACAACTATTGAATTACAATCTAATTCAGAAGAGGACACTTCTACAGAAAACTTAGAGCTGGGCAATGAACAGCCTGAGGTTGTCCCATTCATCACTGCAAGAGAGAGAGGCACAACCCTAAAAAAACCCCTCCAGTGTGAATGTATTTGTCATTATGATGACAAGGCCTGTGGAGGGCTTTTCAGCTTTCCAATAGAGCTGGGAAAACCTCTACATACTTCTCATGTCTGACTGTCTGGAGCTAACACTGCTCCTTTAATGCAGAAGGTCAGACGAGGTCCAACGATCCCAACGCTGAGACAGACACTAGCGCAGCAAAACTGGCTGTATTGGGAGTATGAGTGAGACCACAGAGAAAGGAATTTGAGGACAGGGAAGTTTCTGATGACTAGGGCAAAGAAAGAGAGCGTTGGGAAGCAGCCAACTATGCAGCTGAAATAAATATTCACACGTTTCTTTGGGAGAGACTTAATTGCAGGAATAACACATGCAGTTGTATGTGCAACGCAAACGCAGGGAGAGCTGCGTCAATGGAGAAGGTGCTCAATTCAGCAATATCCTCACCCATTGGCAAATGCAACAGCACCAGGCTCCTGCTGGAAAATAACTGAAGAACGAAGAACAGAGCCGCAGATATTACTATAACAAAATGAAGAAACTAATCTATTAAGAAGCCAAACGCTTTCATGTGGCACATAAGTAAAGAAGTAAGGATGATTTAGAGAGAGCACAGAGACAGAGGAGAGAGGAGTTCAGATGTTTAATCCTCACGTAGCCACTGGTTCTCAGCTACCATCATTCCACCTGTACATAACCTTTTTTCTAATCTGTAATTTAATCTATCAACTATTATTGGAAAGGAGTTGGAAAGAGTTGGAAAACCCAAATCACTAGCTGCTGAAGTCCTTCTGAAGCAAGAAGACATGAAGACGTATTGTTAACAAAGGCTGATGCACACACAGGTAACTACTCACACTTGGAGGCGTTCATCTGATGACTGTCAAATCCTCCAAAAGTTTCTGCCCTTCTAGGGAGAGAGATGGGTCCAACTCCCCCTTCCTGTTCCATGGCAGCGCTGCTGACCTGCTGCCCGAGGGCAGTGCCCAGGCTCCTGTTCACCAGATCTTGCAGCAGCTCAACTGATAAAAAGCAACAATATCTTTGTTAAAGACCAACTCAGGCTTCCCAGCTATTTTCATCCCTGCCTGAGATCAGGTCAGAAATTCACATGCTTTGCTGTCCTAAGAAACCATGTTTCTATGACAACGATACGAACACTACGCATTCCCTGGGCAAAAACTCTGACCATTAACTCCAGTTCCTGGAGCTCTGCACAGGCTTACACCTCCCTCCCCTCCTCCAGGCAACCCTGGTGTGATCTGACAACAGCATTTAAAAATGTTTAGCCTCTCCAAAAATCACACTGGAAAGTCACCTGAGTTGCTACCCTTGCCTTTGTCAACAGACTTGCTTGTCCCTTGCAGGCACCACAAGCACCTGCTGGAACCCAAGCCCCACTCTGACACATTGCTGAGCCTGAAGCACAGCAAAAGCCAGGATGGTCTGTATTTCAGCCAAGGATAAATCCTGTGCTGCTTCTGGCAGATTCAATGCATGATGCTTGTGCTCTGGGCTGACTTCTTTTCTGCCCTCTTTCAACAGCTGTCAATATCTGCTTCCTTTCCTGATCCTCATTACTGTCCTTGAGACAATGCCATGAGCAGCGGTATCTTCTAATCTATGCTGTTATTCTGACAGAGAAGGCTTCCCCTGCAAAACTGGTGCTTGAGGACTGATGGTTTTACTGAAGGTGGGTCTGGTGGTTAGTGCAATTAACGTGTCACCCTTACATCCTCACCTTCATTTATTGCAGTTTTCATAATGGCCTCTCCTTTTGGTGCCTCTTCCGTGTTGGCTCTGAAGAGCAGCCTGGAGCCTGGCACGTCCTCCTGCACAGAACTGTCTGCCATGTCCTGGAAGATCTTAGCCTTCTCCTCCAGCAAGAGGAGGATCTGCTTATCCTTCTGCTGAAGTTGTTCTGTGGGGGTGAACAGAAAACAGAGATGAAGAGAGAAAATAAAAGCTTGGGCAAGGAAACTCAGTGATTCCTGAGATACTGGCCCCATCTAGTGGAACCTGATGATACAGCCGTGCCCTGTGTGATCTGCACAGCAACGGTACCCAGCAGGCTCCAAAAAAACCAAATAATCCAAGCAAGGTGAGGACTGCAATTTTTTGCTGGATGCAGGATTCTCACTCCTTTGAAAACAGTCATAGTTCAGCCCCAAAACCCAAAACCCAGGGACAACAGTCCCTGTAAATTTTTCAAAAACCGCTCCCCGGCTCTGTCCCAGGCAGGATTTTACCTTTCAGTCCTCTCACTTTCGCATCCAACACTTTCTTTTCAAATTCAGACTCACAAGGGACTCCTTCGTCTTCATCTCTGTCCCTGGAAAAGACACATGTCTCAATTACTACCAGAACATGATCACGTTCATCACCTGCCTTGCAAGAACAGCTTGGTAGCTTACATGGTGTTAATTGTGTCCTGAATGATCTGTATCCAGCCGTTACGCTCTTCTTTGGAGCTGGCATGGACTTCCACCATTTCGGGATCTTTTACACCCATACTGATCAGGAACAAACCCTTCTCTTCATGAGCCACTTCTCGTACCATCAGCTTCTTCAGCGAGATCACAGTGGATTTCTGGTCCTTCAGACGGAAAGAAATGAGTGAGCAGGGTGAACAGTACTAGTTTCCAGGTGCAAACTAGCAGTGAAAAGGTCACAACAACCACAATGCTACCTCTCTCAGGTTGTAACCATTTGCTGAACCTATTGGCTGATTTAAAAAAACTGAATCATTTTAATGGGGTCAAGGAGCAGGGAAGGACTCGCTTTCCTCCATCAGTTCTGTAGGAAAAGCAATTTCACCTTGTTCCATTTCAACAAAAAATTAATTTAAAATTGACTTGGTGGTTTTGCAAACTACCATATTTTGTTTTAACTCCAGCAGACCTTTGATCTCATCTCCTCCTGCCCACGCTCTGTCATTAATATCAGAGCTCCTTAAACTCAGTGCAGCTTGCTAGCGCCTGCTTCACACACACACTATCTCCACCATCTCTCCCCTAGGATGGAGTAACATCTTGTTTCCAAATCCCACAAAACCCCTGCTGTTCTCAGAAGCTCATCGCTGATTCCTATGGTGGAGAAGACTTGTGTGTGAGATGACGTTCATTGTGTGCTATGGTCTCTGTGTAATCAGCCCGCTGGGTTAAAACATCCCTTTGCTCTTGTGTCATCTGCGTATGAGTCAGCCCCTTTGTGCATTTTACAGGATGCTACAACTGGGGTGATTCGGTAGCGGTTCACTAGCAGGGCTTGTGTGCAAATCAGCTCCTCCCTTGTGGGGCACCCAGTCTGTGCAGATCATTGGTGGAACTGGAATAACAAATTATCAGCTTTCAAAATGTTCAAAGAGTGGAAAGGTCACAAGGTTTAGCCAGTCTAGACCATGCCTGCAAGGTACAGCCCCAACAGATTCAATTAGGTACTAGGTTTTCTTTAGCAGGTCAGGGTGCGCAGCCCTTTTATGAGGCCTGCCTTCAAAAGCTAATGTTTTTGGTCTTGTGCATTACGAATATATTCCTCTGACATTTATTTTCAAGCTGTTCCGTTGAATTTACTGCAGTGGCATTTCACCCCCTCCCCGCGCCTCATAGTAGCTCAAAATGTATTAGGACATTTCCTTCTGCTAAGATTCATTTTTACAATGTTCGTATTATCCCATTGCTCCCTCCCACCCCAATCACGGCTTCAATTTGCACAAACTGAAAAGGAGTAAGTGTATCAAGCGACAGGCAGGTTTTTTGGCCAATTATCAGCTGTGCCAAGGCACTGCAGAAAGGGGAGGTGGGGCCTGAAGACATGTTTTCCTACCAGAAAGAATGGAGCCTGCTCAGCAAACAAAAATGTTATAAGCAAGAAAATTAAGTTGTTTAGCAGGCAACGGCTGGCTTCGCTGCACAACACACATCAAGCACCCCTCACACAAAAAAAAAAGGAAGGAAGAGAAAAGGTTGAAGCCTTACCAGTGAGGCAAAGACATATTTCTGGTCCTTCTCCTGAAGGAAAACGAGCATGTCAGAAAGGAGCACAGCCTGGACTTCTGCAAAAGAAAAAACAGATCAATGCAGTATAACCACACAACTCACCCCAAAACAGATTTATTTTAATAACACCAGTGATGGGGAGAGGTTGGGCTGGTTGTGCGAATCCTGGAAGAGGGGGTCACTCTCCTGGTTAGCAGGAGGAGCAGGAGCAGCTCCTGGAGATGCTGGGTCAGGTTAGCTCTTGGCATTACAGAGACTACAGCAGCACCTGGGAAACCTGCAGGATTCTCTCTCGTCTGTCAGGGCAGGGGTGCTCCTCTCCAGCTATTCGCTTTCTAACAGTCAGGACACGGGCATAACAGTGAAAGTTCGAGAGGCTTAGTGAATAGAAGCACTGTTTTCTCAAACAATCAATATTTCAGCCCGCGAGCAAAATATCTGCACAGGAAGTTTTGGTTTTTATGGTTCTCTTGATGAGTGGTTTGCGGAGTGTAAATTACTGTGCAATAACAACATTTGTCAGCTGCAGTTTCTTTCCCAGGAAATACTGACTTCAGGAGCCACTAATTCTGCTCACAAACACAGCCCTTGCCGACTCCAAGGGGAGCCGACAGAGCCTGCCTGAGATGTGGGACCTGGCTTTCTTTCACGGGAGAAGGAAGCCCAACGTCAAGCCAACAGAGGATTTTAAATCAGCACACAGCCTTTTCCCAGAGTACACGTACAGCTTTCCAAGTCTCCTAACGACATATCATAAAGTTGCACAGCAACTACCAAGCATAATGCCCCACCCAGAGCCTTCAGCACAAAGAGTTTTTGTGTAATGTACTTGGGAAATCTTGTGACAGAGAGGAAGCAAACCAAGAAGTTAAATCATCCCGTGGGTAATTCCTTCCACTCTGTTTTGGGAAGACAGGATCCGTTCCAGATAAAAGAACCACCAAACTTTAATCAAAGCTGCAGTATGAACTCAAAGCCCTGAGAGCTTTGTAGAAGTCAGCTTTTGACTCCCTTCTCCTCTATGATCTGTGCGCTTTGCAAGAGAGGAAATGCTAAAACCCTGTAAGAAAAGTTCTTATACTCTTCTGTACTCCATTTTAAATCCTGCAAAATAGCCTGAATGTACAAACTAGCTACTCTGTCCCCGGGCTCTGCTGCTTGTCTGCAGGACCTGCTTTCTCTGGGAGCCTGCCGTACAGACAGAGGTATGTTTATGCATTTCTATGACTTAGCAATGCAAATGCAGCCTGTGCTTATCACCAGATTTCACAACAGCAGCATAACTTGCTTCATCCACCATCTAAAGTCAATAGTAAGCTCGGGTGCCTGGAAACCATCTGTAAACTTCCTGTTTCCAAACCTCAAAATAAATCATACCCGATATGGAATTCTGTGTTATCGCTGCCTCCCTGCACAGCACGGCACCAGACTACCAGTCCCCATTCATGCCCAAGAACTGTGGTTTAATCAGCTGATGCTGGAGTGAGAGAAGCAAAGAAAGCCCAGCCTTCCTGCCAAGTCCGAGACACAGCCCTGTCTGCTCTCACCACCGCCGTGGGCACAGCTGAAGGCTGTCTTGGGAGAACTAGTGTTTAATTCAGTAGAGAACCTTAAGGGCTCAGCAGAGCACAGAGCTTTGGAAAAAACTATTTCCACCTGATAACAAACAAAAAGCAATTCAAGAAAGCACTGACAAAAGAAGGGGCAGCTGCAGGAACACCAGAGCCTCTCCTGAACAATTTGTGTCAGCAGCTTAAGAGGTTCAAGAGCCTGGGACACAAACAAATGACTGGGACACCTCTCTGGAGAGTACTGGGATGGTAATGCTGAGCCTGGGCAGCCCCACTGCAGACCTTAGAGTAAAGGAAAGGCAGTGCTGCTGGTGGGCAGGGCCACTGGGAAGCTGAGGTTGGGTTTCGGAAGCAGGTTCCAGGGAATGCTTCCTGGAACCGCTGCATGTGTGCACTGTGGCACCGAGATCTGACACTGGGCAACTGCAGCCCCATCGTGCTCTCTTGGCCCAAAGGGTCTCCCAGCAACCCCGCTCCTTGGCTGATGCACAGGAGATATCACTGCAACCCAAGCCTTCAGCAGTCACCAAGAGGAAGAGCAGCTACCTGTCACCTCAGAAACAACACAAGGAATTGGAAATTCTGCGATGGGAAGTGAGTGTACGGTACAGGAATAGCTGCTGTCAAAATCTCTCAAAGCAGAAAAAAAAAAAAGGCTGGTGACACCAATCTGAGCACTAATCCTACATCCAGAGAGGAAGAGCTGTATCGTCCCCCAGCAGAAGGCAGGATAGTCTTACCTTTTAACCGGCCAGCTGCACTTCTTAGTGAAACAGGCCCATCCCGGATGAGCTTCCGATGCCTTAAGTCCTCTCTTGCAAACATCTGGCCACTCTTCATTCTCATGATGGACTTGCTATCTGTCCGGTTGTAAATCTCACTAAGACGCATTTTCTTTTCATAATTGCAGACTTTGCTATTGACTGCAGCAATCACATCTTTAACGAGGTTTAATGACTGAGTCAAGTCTTCATGTTCCGCTTCATTTTCTTTGAACAAAAAGATAAACACTTTGATTTCACTTCATCCTTGTGGAGTCTAACTTCCTGATTTTACTTCCTTCCTTCCTCTTCTCCCTCCCAAATTCCCACATTATAACTTTTTAATACTTCTATCAGACAAGCTGCATTTATCTCCCTTAAGGAGAGTTTCACAAAACCTTTCACATATATAGTTGAGGCTGGGGACTATTCCCAATATACTTTGTACATGAGAGAGTATAGATGAAATGCAAAAATTAACCGTGCATTTTAGCCATTACCAAAAAAAGCAAGCTTGGAGACTTTGGAGTCTAAGCATTTTGCTCCATAATTAGCTACAGACAGACTTATAACAACTAAATCAAGGCACCTGAACAACTAATCCGAAATGGAGATATGAAACTGAGTTATCTTGTTACAGCAGCGTGAGACAACGATGACTGGATTAGTCAGTCTATTCTAAGAAAATCTGCTTCAGCTGAAAAGGATCCAAGAAATTTACACTGGAGGAACAAATACATGCTTAGAATAGAGGAACTGGTCCTTACCTTTGGTGTACTGCAGTATCATCTGTAAGAGGATCGGGTACTTTGTGATTCTCTGCGTTACCAACAAGATACATTCAGAAATCCCAAGACGCCTCACCAGGGAGCTGCTCATTTTTTTCTAAGGAACAAAGATGAAAATTTCAGTTCTGTAGCAAAACGCTCATCAGAGTCTAGAAAGGATAGACTTTTTCCACTGAATTTGTCTGTTCTACCAGGCCCTACCTCGACAAATGCCTGAAACCGCTTGTCCTTTGAGTACAGATCTTTGAAGTTATTTACTGCCTCGTTGTGATGTCCACAGAATTTGCCGTATGTTTTCTTCATTCGTTCAGCGTTCTCACCGGAGAACTGCAAGACATGAGACACAGAGATCGAATTGTGCAAGACACAGACATTCATCAACTGGATGAAACCAAATCCATCCAAAGCATCCAAACCCAGGCAATTAGATCTCTAGAAAGTGAAGAGCTGAGTTTGAGACTTCACTGTATCCACACAATCCAAAATCGGGGACTCTACCACTTGGGGCTTAAAAGCCAACAACGAAGAAGTCAAGGCAGACAAAAAGAAGATGGGAGAAAGTGCAGACAAAAGAAAGTAAAACGGCCCACCCGAAGTTAAATAGCAGGTCAGTAACTCAGCCAAGAAACACATTGAACATATTTTACTGTAGGCTACTGCCTATGCTCCAGGCTATGGTTAAATCGTTCTGTGCCTGCCAGGGAATGCTTCTCTCCCCCACAAAATAAACTAAATTAATTTTCATCATTAGACCTTTCTCTGAAATAGCAAAAAGTGCTTCAAAAAGCAGAGGCAGAGATTTTTACGTGTGTGAAGAGTAAAGGTGGCATCAGCTGTGATTATCTAACAGGCATAAACAGGAGGGAAGGAGAGTGCCTGGTTTTCAGCTGTGCTTTCACAAGTGTCAACAGTTTCCAGCCCTTACTTGATTCACTAGGATGTCACCTATCCTCTTGATAACAAAGTTCTTTTCACTTTTGTCTGCCAAAGACTCCTTCTTCCTTTCCAGAATCCGCTGGAAGAACTGACTGTGGATGTGCAGCAAGTTTTCCAGGCAGGGAAAGATCTTGTCCACAACTTGTTGATCATACTGCAGTTCCTTTAACATGCCCGCACTGTATACATCATTCATGATCTTCAGGGTGCGGACATGATGCATTTCCGTCTGCATTAGCTCTGCATAGGATGAGAACAAGGTCAAAAAACAAGGTCACTGTAGAGTACATGGGTGTACAGTACAAGGAAGGCTCTTCTATAACTGGGCTTCTTTAAGTGCCTTCAGAAAATTTCACATCAGGTATTGAAACCTCAATCAATAATTCAATGTGTGGGAGAAATGGCAGAGGAGTCCCACAATAAAGAGTTTTGGACATTGCTGCTGAGGTCTGAACCTTCAACGCTGTTACCTGCTCCTTCCTAACATCTCTCTGCCAGCTTCACCGTGGTGTATGCTTTTGCCATACAGGATGGCTCTTACATCTGGCAGAAGAAGACTTCCTAGCTAGCTGCTGTAACGGAGTTTAAATGTAATTGGCAGACAAATGAGCAGAGGCAATTTCTGGAGGTTTTTTTGACGGCTTCTGCATACGTGAAATGCAGAAAGAAAGCTTCCATAGAATGCATTATGTTTTTAAGAACTTCAAGAATGAAACTTTGGCTTCTGAGAAAATTAAGTCAATGTTCCCAGTCGCTGACCTAAAGCTTCCCAAATTCATGCACGTGAATGCATCAAGAAGCTATCAACAATGAGTGAAAAATTAAGATGCAGGTATCTCACCATAAATGACATTTTGCCGTTTGACAACATCTTTGTTTTGCTCCTGTAGGAATTTGCTGTCCACTGCTTGGCTCCAGGACTCTGCCTCTAGCTGCTTGGAATCTAATTCCAGGTCTCCCATCAGCTGTCCTTCGTTCATATCCGCACCTTCACAAAACAACGTTAAGTGCCATTAAGATGTGGGTAAATTGTCTCATTGGAGATTCCTGTCTATTCGTTTAGGTTTCAACTTTCTCTGTCATACCACAGACATCACACGCATTCTCCTTTACAGACACAAGAACGATCATATGGAATTATACCATGTAAGAACCAGGTTATGAAAAGCACTTTTAAAGGTTACTTGCTAGTTGCACAAAACTAGTTCACCATTTTCACACAGACCAAATTCTAGCTCAGATAAAAGCCAATGGATTCTTTATCTGAAATGCAACAACATTGCAGATAAATAAAAAAAACCAACACCCAGTTTGTCTTCCTTCATTTAACTTCATTGAATCGAGGGAACTTAAGACCTATATCCTAAAAAAGCACCATATATTAAAAAAATATTTAAACTGAAGAAATTAATTTAACTGACTTCACTTTCAAACCCACAAAACTAAACAGTATGTTTCTTCCTTCCCCAGTCTGGGAAAAACACAAAGCGCAAGACATCGGCATGAAAAAGGTGACAGAGTGCAAAATCTGTGGCTGTATGAATGGGCCAGAGGTGCAGGACAAAAGAGGAAATGTTTGTCCCTGAGCTAAACTCCAAGTAACTCAACTGTCACTGAAACCTTCTAAATGTTTCCCCACAATTCAGCAAGCTAAGGAAATTACTATGTGGGGCTTTGCTTTAGTTTATCATACTAATATTGTAAGATTCAAGTAAATGGGGATCTCTTACCTTCGTCAACCAGTGACTCCATGGATTCATTCACCCGGCTGATTTTATGTAAGGAGTCTGTTGACTGCGACAGGAACTTCCAAGTGTGTATTAAGTTGTCATCGTTCCCAACTCTGCAGAAAAACAGAACACAGAATATCATTTATGACATAAAAACCCAGCCAAATGTACTTTCAAGTACACAGAAGAAATGCATTTTCAATATGAAATGAAAAGCCAAGCAAGCGTTGCACGGTTATGTACAGAACTACCCATAGGGGCTCAACAAGCTGTAAGATCTACAGTTGTGAGTGACAGTGCTTCTTCTATAAAGAGTCACACCTGAGGTTTTATGGTTTAGATAACTTCTTTTCAGTATTTTCCATTTTACAGTCACTTCCAACCCTCATTGTCCTTGCCACAAGCAGTACGAACACAAAAGGCTGCCCAAGAGTCTTTATCACTAGCACTGAGAAAGATCAGAAAAATGGACTGAAATAAATTTCCCCGTGAACAGCCAGGACACGCAAACTGGCCAGAACATGCCAGTCCATGCTACTGCCCTGTGTGTAGAACTGCTCAATATGCAGGCAGTGTAAGAACCATAAATTAGATTTTCTTCTGTGATTTTCTGTACATTAATTATGTACAGTGCAGTCCTAAAACACAATGAAGACTGCAGCTCTCTGCCTCCCTCCTCTCATTATGGACACAAAAGTTACTACTACACCTGAGCTACCAGCCCAAGGCAAGGGAATTTCCTCCTGGAGCCCAAAGCATCTCTGTGAAGTGGCCCTGAATACACCCAGGCCAACTCAGATGCCTCTGAACTCATGCCATGATTAAACTAACCCAAACAATCTGATTGTGCACAAGACAGCTGATGGTATCATATATAATATGGGCATTTCTGGCTTTGTGATCCTCTTTTGTACTTTTAACACAAATCATAGGACGCAAATTCATGTTTAATGAGATTTGAATTTCTTTATGCTCGCAGCACCGGGTAGGACACGCATACTCAGGCGCGCGGGGAGCAACCTTACCCTGCAATGTTCTGTATGGAGACGCTTTTCGAAAGTGCTGTAGGCCGTTGTGATCTCCTGTTATTGAATATTGAGGTCACGGTGTTTTCATCAGGAGCAAGAATTGCAGAGCGAGGGCGCTCCTTCGGTTGTGAGCCTGGAAGGGCAGTGTCAGAGAAAAGTCAGCTCATGCAATTGCGCCCTTAACTGGGATGATGATGACCTAAAGAAACCAGGCCCTAAAATTCACTTCCTTTTCTTTCTAGAGTTGTCACCAGGCCATCTCAGCCATTAAAAACAGCCGAGAGAACATGGATCCTGGTGCAGAACTGCCTGCATTGCACTAGGTGTAAAAGATCTAGGTGGGATCTGCAAGTCCTGAAACATACACTCAGGAAACTGAATTTCATTTCATTTGATAAATGTGTAGCAATCTACTATGTTGCTTTTTAATTTCCCTGGGCCTATAATTGTATACATCTTCCTGCTTCTATTCAAACTTTTTGAGATAGGTTTCTCTATCAGTACGTACCACAGAGAAATGCTAATCCTTATCTCATTATACTATCACATACCTTTAAATAATCTTTTCATGCTAATTCCAGATTTTGCACTCTTCAGAAAGTTTCCTGCTTTCTGGAACACTCTCTCTGAATTTCACGATAAATACCACAGTGAGTATATCTTTATCATACAGTGTGGTTCCATATAGCTATCTCCAAGCTATCACTAAATAAGTTTATCAAATCATGGCACTACAAAACCAAAACGTGGGCAATTTCACTCCAGTTTTTTGCCCTGGGTCACAGTGGGTAGCTCTGCAGTGCAGTGTATATCTCAGCGCAGCCAGAAAAAGTTTGTCAGTATTGCTTCCATTCAAAATGAAACTTCCTGGTTTTACTATGTCAAAGAATAAGACTATTTAATTGGAAAAAAAAAAAAAAAAAAAAAAGGATTTTGAACAAGCATCCTCTTCATTTGTAATCTTAACAGTTTCTGTTAATATCATACTCATAGTTGGGGTTCTTTTCAATGTCAGACACACGTGGACATAGGCTGCGTCTTCCAGATTTTGTGGACTCATCAGCTGTAGGGCTTCAGCAAGCTACAGCAGGCAAGTAGCTACTCTAAGTCTGAAATGACTTTCCGTTTGCTTAAAGTTACGTGGACACTGAAGAAATGGATGAACTCTGTGCAACTTCCGAAATCACTGCTTATCATGCACAGAAGACACCCTCATCCCTGCTTTGATAAATGCTTCTCTTTCATAATATCGGATGGTAGTTCTCAGAACAGTTAAAAACAGCAGATATGGACCAAAGCAGAGGGAAAGGAAGATTTCTTACTTTTGCTTCTCATGGTTACGGTGGGTAATGAAGAGGTATCATGTGCCTGCAGCATCCCTCTCTGTGGCTGAAAGAAAAATTAAATTCACTGTAATTTCATCATCCTTTATTCCATCAGGCTGTGCCACATAACTAAAGTAAAAAAGCTATGTTTTTTCTGAATCGTCTCAGAACAGATCAGTTTTTGACTGTATATGTATTTTAAATATATATATGTGCACACACACGCAGCCTCCCCTCCAGCTGCCACCAATGGAACAGGCAAAATAACAGATGGAGAAACGTGCAGCAAATAGTAAAACGAGAAGAGAAAGTGCTGACAATACTGAAGAGAACTGAACATCATAATTGTATAAATGTTAACTAGCTTGGAGAATCATTATGCAGAAGAGGTTCTGCACATTTGGGACAAGCACAAAGTCTGTGCGTTCCTCATATAAACAACATACATATTTAATAGTTTTCATTACGCATTATCTACAGATGATGCTGTATTACGAGACACAGCATTTGAAAATTAAGAGATATGGCACTTATGGGTATTGGACACCCCTGAATTTTGCCAGTGAAGTAGATTTTTGGCAGTTTTTTGTTAGTGGGTTTTTTTTGTTTGTTTTTTTTAATCGAAGCATAGGAGAGACCATCTCACCATGAGGCCCCTGTGTACTGCAGGGAACAATGCAGGGAATTTGCTGCCAACAAACACCCTGTGGTGCTGACCTGGAGCATTCACAGAGACAACTACTGTATTAAAGTGTGGTTCTGGGGGATTTCAGGAGAGCCTGAATAATTTCAGAGAAATTATTCACTATAGCGCAGGGGATGGAGTTCTTTCCAACAAGCTAGAAGATTTGGGACGTATGGTAGAAGATGTTATATATCTGCATGCTAAACTGTTTAAACTTTCTTGTTTATTCAGTAGAGTATATGAAATGTCTTACCTTCATTTTGACCTTTGCACAAGAAGCAAAACTCTCCTTACAGCCTTTGTGAACAATTGCATTGCAGTCTGTCAAAAGTGAAAAAAAAAAACACAACACACAACTAATTAAACAAAAAGCCCCAGAATACAGGTCAGTTTGTGCCGTTTATAATCTGGATTATTATCTTGCACAACTAAGAATTACAACTTTCAGGCATCATTGTGGTTTACTACAGACACTGAGAGACAGGCTGCTTTCCTGGATAATTAGCCCTGTGTTTGTTAACAAGATTTCCTCATAGAATTTAACAGGAGATTCTGTTTAAAAATCAATGCAAGGTTGAGTTGCCAGAGTCCTAATGAATTAAAAAAATAAAAAAAGATGGAGTTATTCCTCTGAAAGAAAAGATAGGTGGAAAGCAGAGAAAGGAGACAGAAACAGAAACCAATTGTAAGGCCAGTATTTTCTGAAAACACAAATAGCGTTCTTATCAAGACAAGGATTATGGGATCCAGAAGACAGGAAAAGGACAGGAAAATTAATTTACATAAACTGAGACATATCATAGCCAAGCTCTGCACAACAGGGTTATCAGCAAAAGTCAGGTGACTGCATCCGTGATGACATTGGGACTTCCTGCTGAGAGCTAGACTGTTTTGGTCCGAAACCACACCATTCAATGTCAAGAGCATCATGCTTTAACACTTCTTCAATGCTTCGCTGCATGCATGCCAGGGAAAAAGCTGCTTATCTTTTCTGGAATACCCTGTGTCTGCCCATGATCTCTGCCAGCAGATTTCCGGGAATCTAAGCTTTCAAAAATGATTAAACCTGTTTGTTCTCGTAATAATTAATAATTGTGTTTGGAATATTACCTCTTCTGACAGATGAAAGGATGCTCTCAGATGAGATTCAGGAGCTTAGAGAAAAACCTGTTCTTTCCACTCATTCATGAAAACATATTAACACAGATCATGAATTATATTTTAAGTGTATGCTACACTGTAAGCTTACAGTTCTGAATTATTTCTAGGAGAAATAAGAAGGGAAAAAATTCCATGACCAGAATGACAAAATATGGTCACACTCCTAAAATTTCTTACATTTGGGCCTACTTAATAAAAGCCAGCAATTCTTCTGATATATTGAGAGAAGTAAGGGTAAGGCCATAGGGCGTTGCTTGTCTGTTATGTCCCACAATTTCCTGTGTAAGACAGAAAGAAGAAAGAAACCTGCATGTTCTTGCAAAAACCCACAAGCAGTACTATTTTTTTCAGGTCAAACAAGGAAGAGGGACTTAACCTGGTTCTGGTGCATGAAAAGAGACAGCAAGACAATTCAGAGCTATTAAATTCACGCTCAAAGCCTGAAGGCAGCTCTTTAGTATGTGCCATTTAGCAGTAGAGCATTTTGATTTTTTACATTGAAAATCTGGTTTCAGAGACTTTATTCCTCCAGTTCAACTCTTCAGCAGGCAGGAAGTTCCTCCAACTCCTCTGTATCACTAATATTAATAATTTAAACCCCAAAAAGCTTCTTTTCTGCATCATTGGTCAATAAAAAAAAAAAAAAAAGACCAGGCAGAGAGCTATTAAAAATTAGATTTTTTTGCTTGCCCGTTTGTTTTAGAGCATGGCAAATCTTTCAGCATTGACTGTCTGATTCAGAAAGCTTGGAGGCATTATTGAAAATTTCAGACATTGATTTAACATGATCCAGTGCCTAAAAGGCATTAAGAAAAAAGTCATCTACAGGCAAGACAGAAGCACTGCCACTTCCGTAGGAAAAAAGTAGTTTACAGCAGCAGAGGAAGAACAGAGCCTCTGCTGCTAGTTGTCTGTCATTTCTAAGGTACTTGATGGCTGATTTTCAGATGTGATGGGAGAAAGAGCCACTCTCAGATGTGAGCTTGAAACCTGGGCCCTGACCAGACTTTCCTTGTAGCGTTCATTTTCTGGCCAATGCAAAAAGCATGTAACAATTTTCAGTTGTAACTTGAAAAATAAGGAAAGAACATCCACACTAAAACATATGGCATTGTTGGATTATTTTAACTCATTAGGAAATAGAGAGTTAAATTGGGATAGATCTGATTTACTAAGTAGCTTCAGAAGCTGTTAGGAAAGTGAAGTGGGGAAAGGCAGAGGATGCATTTGAGAGCTTATAATTGTTAATGTTTTCCATTTCCCATCAGGCTGACACAGAGCATGTCTCATGCAAACAACGTTGCTGAAATCTCTTCTCTTCCAGGAAACTCAAACCTGTTGTTTGGGATTCAGTTGGCTGCTCCTTCCCTGCTCAACGGAGAGGATTCTTCCCACTGCTGAGAAGGGACAGCCAGAGACAGAGCCTCCTGCCCCAGCCTGGGAGCAATTCCCAAAAATGCTTCATCTCATCTCTAGGCTAGCAGAGTAAAAACCATTACTGGCAGCGAGGAACAGAGAGCCCTGAGCTGCAGTGGGAGAAAGACATTTTTGTCTGCATAGTCTATAGCTTTGGGCCACTGTGTAAAAACAGCCACCACTCTGGTCTCGACCACACAAATGCTGCTGACCTTATCGTGCTACAGGCATGAGAAACCACCTGATAAGAAAGAAGAACAAAATCCACAGTCTTGCAGAAACCCTCTGCTGTGGTTCCTGCACTGCCTGCACTGTAGTGCACGTACTTCACATGCACGCAGGTAGTTGCCATTTGACCTGTGATGCAATTCCATGGATTAAAGGAGAAGAGGTTTAGTATTTTCTTTTTGTATGACGCTGTTCTCACTGAGGGCCCAAGGAGCAGTGTTTGGGAACTAAAGCAATATCCTACAAATGGGTGGGACGTTTGGAAATACAAGCCATGATCCAAGCCAGCTTTCCCTGTCCTTCATCCATCTAAACAAAGCACCTCAGCCCCAAGCCATAACACGCTGTTGAAATAACCGAAGTCCTCCAGTTGCCTGATACATCCCAGCAAGCAGGGGCAGAAAAGCCACGGGATGCTGCAACATCTGAGCACAGGCCAGAAAGGAGGTTGCGGGACGCCTCCTTGCAGCCACAACTCATTTCAGTCCAGCTTCCATAAGGCAGCACGCTGCTCCATGAATCACTGCCTCCAAAGTCTCCCTCCCGCCCCACATCCTTAAACAAGAGGAAAATAAACCGTAAGGTTCGTATTTCCCATGTCAGATTTAAAGAAAAACAAAAGGTGGGGGGAAACCCCTGACTTACTTGCACAGTAGTACGAATCCTTATTGAAAGGTTTCATACAGTGGTAACAAGTTGCTTGGGCTACAACGGAGGTTGCAGTGAAGAGATGTCCGTTTAACAGCTTCTTATCTTTTTCCTTCTCCTTGGAATCTTTTTCCTTCTCTTTAGCCTTCTCTTTATCTTTCTCTTTTTCCTGCCGAGAGAAAATGAGCAAATGCCTTGTTACTTTGCAGAGGTCTATTCTCTAGTTACAGATTCTTCAGTGTTTGCCTTTGGCACTATGACGATATCGATTGGTGCACACCTTAACAACAGCCATGTATCTGCACAGCTCTGGGTTAAAAATGTCAGCTTACAGCCCCCATGGATGTGGATTAACATCCTACCAGCTCGCAGAGCCTTCTGCACAGGTATCTCACCAGCGGAGACGGAATGGAATCTGTTCTGAAGGCAGATATTTTCTTTCCCCTTTGTTTTATATGCCTTGGTTTAATGACTTACTTCTTCTTCTGGGCTCTCATCAATCATTCATCAATCAGCACTTTCAATGAATTGTGTTAAATACAAACACCACGAGTAATGTGTATCAAATTTTCAACACAGTTAATTTTTAAGGCCAACCTGTAAGAGTTGTGCTTTGCAACTGCATTTTTAATGGAGAACACAAGTTCAAGCTCTTCCTCAATGCCTGCACAGCATCACTGTCAGAATATTTCCACCTCTCCTTTCCTTCTAGCAACTAGCAACTTTTTCAACAGTTTCATGCAACCCCAAGTAACTATGTGAAGCTTGCTGGGGAAATGGATCTTTTACAAACTCTCCAGATACAGCAACACCAAAAAGGCTGAGGAACAACAGCAACTCCATAAAAGATTATCTTGTCTTCCGGAAACAACAGTTCAAGCCCTGGCCTACTCAGCTTTGGAAAGATGCCAAGCACAGCCAGCTTCTCCAATGTCTAGAAGAGTTTTTGTTTACCTTTCTATCGCTACCTGAGATAGAAAATGCTAAATACTAAAAATTTTTAACAATTTTCCCTGTAACCTTTTGTGGATTTGGAATTCTCCCAAACAATTTTTCAAGGAAACTCTATAGAAAGACTCCACATTTGTATTACAGTGACTCCTTGTCTTTCTGTGTACCACCCTACAAAAGTTTACCATACAATTCAGCTCCAGATCTTTATTTTAACTGTTACTGGAAATTTCATGGCATCTGAAAGAGAAGCCTAAGCAGAAATCGGTGAAGGCTTCTGTAAGCTTATCTTTGCATTTTGTTACTTATATGCCATGTGCCCTTTGCTAAATATTGTCCCTGCCTAAATATCAGAGAGCTGCAGAGCAGCCCATGTGAGCAACCACCATGAAGCGGTTAAAAGAGGTATTGAGCTCTGCAGTCACCGGGAGGGAAACTTTCCAGCCTTTGATGACACACTCAAATAATTAGTAACTCAGCCTGAGGTCTCCCCTCTTCTAACACACCACAGGCAAAATGCCAGTGTCGGAGTCTCTCCCTGCAAAGCTGCCTCTTAAACAGAAACTCTATTTACTGGCCCCAAACACTATTTTGTCCCACAAATAAGCAAACGCAGGAGCATTACAGTATGGAATAATTCTGTCTGAAGCAGAAAACATGCCAGGAAGAGTCTCAGCCTTATTTAAGCCATCAGCTCAGATCACCACCCCACGTAAACCTCCACAGCCCCATCTGCTGACCTGGCCACCTGTAACTGTGTCCAGTGGTCTTGAATCCACAGCAGGATTCAAGAACTAAAACTCTGCAGTTTAGTCCTTGGTTATGGTATCAAGGTGATGTCTGGAGTTTTGCTCCATTGCCAAGACTTGTGAGGCTCCAGGAGAAAAAAATCATGCTATGCTCAAGGCAGATCTTGCAACTCCCATGCTTAAAACGCTGAATGGAGATTCACCGTCCTACACTTGAAATGTACCTGACATTTACTACAAATCCCAATAATTCTGGAGTCTGGAATAATATCCTGTCTTCATAAAATCACTGTAAAAAACGTTTTAATTAAAACTGAACGCCCTCAGGAAAAACAGGAAGTGGGTGCACCACCATCAAGGAGGAAACAGCAACTTCATACAGGGGATGCCAGCCATGCTGCTGAAATACAAGGTCTCAAAATGAGATTTTATTTCTGATTTTTTTTTTTTTTTTTAAATAAAGGGATTGTAAAAGCAAATCTGTTTTCCTGTGCTATCAGAGCTGGCAGCGTGACCTGAAGCACAGCTTCATAGCTGACCCTGAGCCGCCCTGGGCTGACACAGGAGGTACCGCAACTCGGTCGTACGGCCCAAAATAACCGACCGTGCGCCGCGGCAGCGGGTCCCCCTGCGAAATAACCACAAAGCTCTTACCTCCCAATGCTTAAGTCCTACCAGCTTCACTGTTATTTGAGGTACTTCGGCAAATTTATTCCATTTTATGGACATCCTTCCCCCGGGAGGCAGGAGATCTGCTCCCCACTAGCGTTAGCCCATCGCGACGGGGAGGATGGCAGGCAGAGAGGAGTTGAGCAAAAGAGAGAGGGCGGGACGATTGCTGCTAACTTCCTTGAAGATGATTTTAGCTACTTTTCCTGCTGCTTTCATCTTGCCCTACCCTAGCTCCCACTGCTAAAAAAAAAATATATTTTTTTTAAAAAAATATATATACAAGCAGGAAAGGATGGGATTAATATTTTAGAAGTCACAAGTCAATACGAGACCATCCATTTAAAAGGCAGAAGGTGGTAAATCAAACCCTCTGTGATGTTTGGAATACAGAAAGATTGAATTTTACCATACCTCAGTGTCACAATGTAGTACTTCAGTAAGCAAAGTGCTGCAGAAGATTTCCCAGACAGAAAGGTTTCGTGTGTTTGAGCTCCTCCTGCTCTACAGGGCACAAATAGTGCCTGTCTCCTACTCCTTTCCAACTCAGAACTCTTACTAGATACACTGAAACCCTGTTGGTGCTATAGCCCTGCCTAATAACTGCGCAGGTCAAGGAAAAAAGAGAAATTACTCATGCTAATTTTTTTGTCGTCATTTCCCAGAATCTCTCCACCAAAATGAAGAAAATGAGGTGGGTTTTTTTTCTAATTGACAGAGACATTTCATGTTTTAGACTTGACAAACGTGAATCAATGCACGCTACCAATTTCAAGAGATTTGCTAATCCATGAATAGCACAAAATATTTGCCAGATATGGGCAAATTCACAAACTTCTATCAGTATCCCCCTACAGTTAATACTCCAAACACCCTTTTATTTTTAATGGGCTTTTTTACATAACTGTTTCCACCATTTTCATAAAGAGCCATTGCCATTAGTAAGCTCAGATGTGCTTTATTTTTCAGTTCATCTTAGAAAACGGTACATTTCTGAAGGTTTGGAGCAAAGTAAAACCTAATTTGAAAGAATTTGAAGCCTCTTTCCCTCCTGAGAGCCCAGACAGAAGCAGAAACCAACTCTTCCTGTCTAACTTCCTCTTTCAAGGTTTGTTGTTTTTCTTTTTAACTCTTACAGGCTTTCATCAGTGGTAATGTTTCTGAGAAATCAGCATTCCCATCAATTTCTAGGTCAAATTTTTTAAATGTACAGCTGAAGCCCTAAAAACGTTGGTAACGCAAACATTCTGTGGCAAGCAGTGAAGAAATTGTAATTTGGATGGTATTAAGGCTTTTTACTTAGTAAAAATATCATAACTGATAGAAGCTGCAATTTTTGTAATGTGTATTATTGTTAGGATTTTGGAGCAATTCTTTATCAACAGTTTCAGACACAGTCATGAAATTAGTGAAATCAGACTGCACCTATTTCACAAAGGCAAGTATCTCAAAGCACTGCTGTTGGATATTCTTACCTGTCCCAACCAGATCTCTTATATACATATATATATATATATATATATAAAAATAGTATATATTTATACAGTTCTTGCTTTAAAGATTATACTCCCGAAGTGCAAGGACCAGTTAACAAATTTCCCAGTCTCGTTCAGAGGCTGGGCAACACACTCCACAACTTCTTGCTAGTGGTTTGCACAGAGGTTTCTATGTAAACAGATGATTTGTTTTGACATTATATTTTGCAGCAGGGAAGAGGATTGTCTGAAAGCTGCTCAGCAGCAGCTCTGAGCCCCTGATACCTGCTGCTTGTGCCTTTAAAAGCAGCTCCTTAAAGAGGAACTATGCGCTCGGATGACTGATCTCACTACAGCTGGTACCTCATTGCAAAAGTGATGCAATCTTCCAAAAAACGTGTCTTAAAATGTGCATTGGGACTATGAGAGCACAGAAACCCAGCTATATTAGAGGAACACTCAGGCTGAAACATCAAACGCTTGTGTTGGGAAAGGCTCAAATCAAGTTTCCTGGTGTAGATGAAACGTGACCTCTCCCATGCTTCAGCCCAGCCTTGTATCTGCGACAGGCCCCGAAGCTCATTATGTCAATTTTGTTTCCTGTTTGCTATTCAGACACTCATCAAAATACCTAATTACATGTCTCAGGGGCTTTCCAATACTATTTACCAACATATCAGCTACGCATCACCTAACTATATAATACACATTGCCCTCCCTGTGAGGTAAAGCGCTCTTGGTTTCTGTCAGACATGATAAACTGAGGTGAGATTCAAGTAAAAAATCCAACCAAGCCAAAAAAACCCCAAACGTGTATTAATCTTCAGGGGACAATCTAAGGCAACAACAGCTCATTTGTGTGAAGTATTTAGCATTAATGTAATTATTTCTGTAACCAATGCTGTTCCCAGGAAATTCAGCTGTGCTGAACAGCGCTTAACCTTCAGCAAATTAAATCTCAGGGTTTCGAGGATGGGAAAAAGAGGAAAATACAAGTATCTAAGGTCAAGGTTTGAGCAACTTCTCTAGCAATGCACAGGAACTTTGTGGCAAAGGTAAAAATAAAAGGGGAACACAATACAGCCTTCAGCAGCCAGTCCCTTCTTACAGCCCCCATTCTAGGAACACAATGCAGCCAGTCCCTTCTTACAGCCCCCATTCTCATTTTGTTAAACACCTCTCATGTTTTGTAAAAATTAGACCCATCAATCACTGCAAAGCCATAACTCATGCCAGAGCACAATCTATTCTCTATAATAAATGAAGCTTCATTCTGTGGGGAAAGCAGGCAAAAACCCTGCACAGAAAAACTCGCCTCAGAAGCATTTCAATTTTGGGTGCTAAAATTTCCCATGTAGCTATTCCCTATTACCCCACAGACAATCCTCCCCTCGCAAAAGGAGGAAAGGAAGAAAAAAGAAAAAAAAAAAAAAGTCAGCCAAGGATATAAATACCATCCTATGGAAACACACTGAAAATCAGAAGTAATGTCAGCTGCCTATAGGTATTTCACGGCTGTATAAATCACAAGAAGCACTTACTTTGCTCTTCTTGCTGCTGGACATTTTATTCCTGAGGTAGCTGAAGGTGCGACTGACTTTTGTTGCACTTTTACCAGGGAGGACACTGATGCTCTCTTCAGATATCCTAAAATCAAAAAAGAAAGAGGTTGCTTTTATTACTTCTTTCCCCCTAAAGCATCTATTAAATGGATAGATTCTTTTTTAAAGGACAAATGCATTTATTAATTATTATGGTGTTATACCAGAGAAGGCAAGGTGAAGACAAAATGCCAATCCAGTAGTTTGCTGTATGTTTCAAGGCAAAAACATCTTTTTCTCTGTTTTTAAAGCAATCTCGGTTCTCCAGCCATGCCATAGCACCCTCTGCTGCTCTCGTGGCCAAATAACCTCTAACCAGCTTGTAGCATCTGCCCATATACAGAGGCAATACTGCAGATACACAGTCTGTCTTGGCATTTAATCATTGGTATTTCAGACAGAAAGGCACAGACATGCACACATCCTTTAAAGAGAGCTCTCCTTCCAGAGAAAGACATATAATGAACTCTGAAAGGGCAGTGACTGTCCTTAACAGAACCACACTATCTGCAAAGCCTTCCCTCGAGAAATGAGAACGCCAATACTAGTAATAAAAACTAATGGTTATTTGTTTTACTTTAGGCATTTCTGGGATGCCACACATTTTCTACCAGTCTTTACATGCAGAAGCTTATGACTTCTTCAGCTTCTATGTAAGAATAAGAAATTATGGAGGAAACTATTACTGTATTAAAGAAAAGGACACAGACCATCAGTAGGAAATAAAACACAAACCAAAAGCTGGACGACAGAAAGACAAATGAAATCAAGGAGAAGAAACCAGAAGCGAGCCTCCCAGTCACGAAATAAAGCTGAAGCTATCAGAGTGACACAGGGACCAGACACCCACCCCCATCAGTGCCACAAATGTCCTTCCTCCAAGAGAAGCACTTTTAAAGCCAGCACCCACCAGAAAGATTATCTCCTCTCTACAGCTTGCAAGGATGAAAAGTAACGTACAAAAACATGATTGTTCTGGCCTTTGTTATGGAAATACAAACAGAATTAACTGAAGAGAGGAACAACTATTTTTAACGTAAAATACAACTCAGGGTAAACTGATACTGTTCAATAAACAAAAAACCTTGCTGCAGATAAGACCTAGAAGAGACTTTCATATTCTATGCTCTAAAATATTCTTCAGCCTTTAGACATACAGGACTGGTTTTCACAAGCTTGACAACTTGTGATTACAGCTGAAGCGCACCGGTGCCAGGAAGGCTTTTGGGTGTCCAAACCAGAGCCCACCACAGAAGTCCCCCCAGAAGAGACGTGGTACCCCCAGAATACTGTACCTCTGAACGGAGGAGCCTGTGGGGCCGCCGAACGCCTGCGCACCTGGAAAAGATTGGAGGGGTGGGGGGGTGACATGTTAGACTGCAATCTTAGCCCACCGATCTTAAAAAGCACAGCTTGCATATTTGCATGGTTCAAGAGGAAGAGGAAATGTTTTCCAGAAGTGAGTGTTTAGAATAGATTTCATGTGCTCAGGATAAAGCCCGTTCCCTGTATCCTTAGGTGCACTCAAATTAGATGCTAAGGTGAAAGCCTGCTTAGTATTTTTATCATTCTTCAGCTATTAGGCAAAGGATGTGCATCTGTTAAATTTGCTGGTGAAATCAGAATCAGTGTCTGAATCAGAACTGCCAATTCAGTGACAATAGGTATAAATGAGAATCATTCTGCCACAAAGCGTTTATTTATACACCACTAGAAAGAACCTATTGTACAACACATCCGGGTTTCATGTAGAAAACTTTTCTGCTTGATAAAATTATAGTTCATTTTCCCATCAAAATCCTGAAGCACTTCATAAAGAGTAAGGGAAACAAGGGAAGCCTTATTCTGTTTTCCACGAAACATCACCAGCCTAGGGCTTAGTCACACAACACTATGCTTGAGGAAAGTCTGATTTTCAACATGAAGCTGAAGCGCTGCCAATGACACAAATTCTCTTTATACCACAAGAAACCTGCTTGCCCAATGCGTTTGGAGCACATTAGGTAGCTGATACAATTTACCAGAACCGTCGAAGAATACTAAAAAATCAGGATGATCTGACCCAGTGGAGAGACGGTTCTCTCCAGAGAAACTGGGCTTGCCAGGATTCCACAAACTCCTCATTACAAGCACTGTTTGCAGTCCTATCTAAAGTTCAAGAAACAGCATGACTGATCATCTTATTAGGCTTCTGCATATACACTGTAAGAAAAACAGTACTTTGGCTTCAAATTCTGTTAACATATTAAAGCTATGGGTGAATGCAAAAGAGCCACTTGACATCAGAGGCAAAGATGGTCCTCTATCCAAAAGCAGTAAGTGCATTAGGAAAAACTGCGTGTACAATGTTATGCTTTATGATTCTAAAATATACATTTTCCTAACCACTGATTCAAGTGTCAGAACAGCCTGAGACAGAAATATCACTTCTTCATATTGAAAAACTGAAATACAGGCATGCGCCACTACCTAATCCCTGCTTACAGATCCCTCATAATATCTTCCTGCAAAATCTTTTATCTAATTAATGATCTATCCCAAGTACATCAAAGTTAGTAATGCTGTAACGTATATCAAATGAACTCCACTATTCAATTTCCTGACAGTGCTGGGTTTTTGTACGATATCTACTACCTAAGCACCTGAGATCACACAAGCAATTTACAGCCTCCCAACTCCCTGCTTAACACTCCAGTGACTCTGGTTCACATTTCACCTCTAGTTTGCTTTTAACATGGGTTAAGTCTCCTTACTCTTTCCTTTTTTTTTTTTTAATAGTCATCAATTTGATTGGATTTAAAGTGTTTTCACAAGCCTTTTTGTTTCTTTGCAGCTAACATAAGAAATATGAACAAATGCTGAATCAAGAACTGTAATAATTTGATATTTGTGACTTTTTCAGCACCTCGAGAAAGTACATTTTATGGGAACTTGAATTATGTACCATTTATCTTTTAAAGCAATAGTTTTTTTATCTTAAAAGTGGGGGATTCTTGACACTGGCAGACAAAATGGATCCAGACAAAAATCAAGGTGAAAGCCTGTTTATGATTTCATATTTTAGTTTACAGTATAACATCATACCGTCAACATTATACTGCAAGATATAAAGCCCAAGAAGATAAGCATAGAACAGCACACATCTAGGGGGTTTTTTTTTTGGGTGGAGTGGGGCAAAGAAGGTGTATTTCCATAATTTTTGTGTTTCATCATGACCAGGTTCAAAATGGAACTGCAAAAACTGATTTTGCAGCCCACCAAAGAAGTTAGTTTTGCTCAAAGGCCAGGACTGCTATCTATGTCCAATGAATCTGGGCTAGCAGCCAAATTTTGGTGTACTTAACTGAACACCTTTTAAGCATCACCCACCTAAATTACTTCCTATGCCAGCTGGACTTGAAATAATTCACCAAGGTCCATTATGCAGAGAGCAGAGACTGGACTAGGATATTGCAAACCAAAGAAACCAGCTCACAACTCCTTAATGCTGGCAGTAATTAAACTTCTGTGGGTCAAGAAATCCAAAGGCTTCACAATAATTTTCTAAAATACACAGGGTGGCTTATCCAGCCATCTGAAATGCACATCTTAAATACATCATATCAAAAAACCTGCAACTAATTCTCCATACTCTAGAGAAAAGGAGGCATGGAGATGTTGAGGAATGGCAAGTAAAATGCAAGTGCAATTTCAATGCTAACACATCCATCCTCTCATGAGAAATGAACCCTGAAGACAGGAAAAAATAAACTTGTCTGGGACCACTACATGAAAAATGCCCATTGCCAAAGCAGTCTTATGAATAGCTATTGCTAAACCAACCTTTACATAAAGTCACCACAGTACCCTCAAATATGAGGGAATAAAACCCATGTAAAAGAAGGCAGCATTTTTCTTTGAGACAATATCCAACGTTACTTTAAATGCTCATCGGTAACAGCAGCACTGCTGAGGGAGGGAAAATAAGTACTGGCCAACAGAAATACCCCCCCCAAATGGCTATATCCTACAGCCTTACTATTAGAAATTACTTAACTGGTTGGATGCTTTAAGCAAACAAACAAGAAGACAAACCCACAGTGAAGACTGGGAATGGAAAGGAGGAGAATTTAGATACCTACAACATGGATGGTGTGGAGATTTTTTAAATTCAAGAAGCAACCAAAATCTCTTGGACTAGAAAGCAATTTCCCCCCATCCCAGGATGAACACAAGGGATGTGGGCTAGTTTCCTTGCAAACCTTTGATTTGAACCAACTAATGCAGCTGCCTTGAATTTTCTCTTTAGCTAGAGAATTATCTATTCTGGTTTATTTCAACAGTCTAATAAAACATGCTTAAGAAATAGGAAGCATTTTCAATTATCTTTGATAAGCCTATTTAAAAAACCAAAAGGAGTCTAAATTACTTTAATTCAATCTGCTGCCTTAGTTGTGTTTTTTTTAGCAATGGAGTTTGCAGGAGGAAGAAAAGCTACCGTGTAACACTGGCCTGTTTCCCAACAAAACTATTCTGATTATAATATCAGGACCTAGATACGAACACCTTGACCATTAAAGATGTTTGGCTGCAATGTATGCTTTTTGCTCAGTAGGAGAACTGTGAAGTTGTAACCAAGATTGTTAGAATTTTATGTCAGAGCTTCTCTACTCTTCTCCTAATTCCACCAAGCTGCTCAGTCTCACCTAGGGAGGGAAAGAATCTACCTCTTCTGTTAATTCCGTGCACTGCAACAATCTCAAGACAAGTATTTTGGTTTTAATTAAAAGGTAATGACTATATTGCTGCGTAGAGTGGCAGATGATGATATTTGCACGTGGATACAGACCAAAACTAGCCAGATGAGATGGTGTTGATGTACCATCTTGCAGATTATAATCCTCCTGGATTATAATCCTTTTATTCTGCCATTAGTTAGTATGCAGATACAGGACTAAGATACTGCTGTTAGACATCATGCAACACAAAGATTAGTTCAACGTCTGCAAGGTGTAACTTCAAGGTCTAAAGCACAAAACCAGATTTCCCTTTGTTTCCACCCATAATGGCTGCAATGCACAGAAAACCATTACTTACTATCCAACTCCTCCTCCTCCTCATCACTGGAAGAAGAGCCAATAGAAAAGAGAGTTTTAGACTTAGGAATGAGTGGAGAGATGCTGAAGGAGAAGGAGATTCGTCTCGATGGTCGAGTCCGGCCCTGGGCTGAGAAGTGGGTTAACAGCAGACATTAGAGCATGCTTGAAAATGCATTTAATAATAAAAAGGAGAGGAAAGCGGCCAAAGCAAACTAAAACCAAAGCAAAGGAAATGTCTGCAAAGCAGCTGGCTTCAGAAAAGGCACAAGAAACAAAGAACTGAGAAATTGCAAATTGCAGAGGATGCAGGTTTCAGAGGATGCAGGTCTCACTGCATGCATAAGGCGAGGTTCAAGGTTTTCTTATCTTTGTTGTCACCTTTTTAAAGGAACTCTTAAAGAAGAACAGTTATTTTCCCAAACAGAACACCAACAATTTAGTGGATGTCTGGACAAAGCATCTCTGCTTCATTTAAATAACTGCCAAGGAATCAAACTAGAACAACTCAAGGTGTTTGTTCAAGGGTGCTTTTTGCAGTTAAATGACATCAAATCTGCTGGGTATAGCAAGAATACTTTATCTGAAGTGTTGACTTTATTTACCTAGGGAGGTTCTTGCTACTTCTACCTCTAAAAAACCAACATTGTTTTGGTAATGTTACGCCCTTAAAAGCTTCCAGCTTTTAAATGGAGAGAACCTACATTTCCCTTCTTTTCTTCTCCAAAATAAGAGAACAAACAAGCATCTCTTTTCCTGCCTTCTTCTAAAACTCACAGTCCTTATTATAAAGAAACTGCCTAAAGATGAGATCCCTCTGAACCCTTTCCTTTCTTTACCTGGGGACAGTGCTCAAAGCTGTTTGGACACACCAAACACAGTGCCAAACTCAGCAATCAGTCTGTGACACCAAATCTCCCATTAGTGGGATAATGACAACGAGTTCAATCATTTTTTCTCCTTACTGCTCTGCCTTCTGCTTATTTCAATTTGTGAAGTTATATTTATCTTCCAGTACTATGCACTTTTCCAGGAATTCCTGCTATTTGTTCATTCCCTCGTCTGCAAACTTTGCAAATTAAAAAGGTTTACTGTAATTCCTGTTTTAAAATATTTTATTTTTAAGAGCAACTCTTGCATAGCAGCAGCTTTGCAACAATTCTTTATAAGTACAGTCTTCTCTGAAAAGAGATGTAGGAGCCAGCTAGCCACTCTGAACTGAAATTGCTCCACAGCCTCTTATGGAGATGCCCAAGGGCTGTATTTCCCAAACCTTCTCATCGTATAACCACAGGTGGAAACCACTGAGCTGTGACCTCACCAGTGTTAGGTTGATGGATACCCATCTCTCACATTACGCATCAGTGTGTCCTCAGGAAAGATGACTGGGACAGGACTGGGGAAACTCTGCCCTGGACAGGTCTGACCTAAGGGTCCTACACTAAGCACCTATATTAAATATCTTCAGTGCGTATATTCAGGCATTTTTAAGTCATTCCATGGCACAGATAAATCTATTTGTTTGCACAACAGGGAAAAGAGGCTAAAAACTTTATCGATATTAAACTTCCAAGAGAAAGAAGTACCAATTACAGAATCACAGAATATAACGCGTCCTTTCAGCCACATACAAAGATAATTTTTTGTATTTCTGATATCATACCCCAAAACTGAATTCAGAAAATAAAAATACTATCTGAGGAATATCCAGTGCAATGCAAGCAATGCAAAGCAAACTCCTCTACAATTTTCCTTCAGCCACTAGTCATAAATGCCAATTGCCTAGAGGTGATTTGACTAAAATTATGCACACACTCTTCCAACGCAAGCAGAACAACCCTAGAGGGACTAAATGAAAGGCATTTAAATTGAAGAATTCTTACCAAGATTCATGAATTAATTTTGTTTAGACTGCCTTTGAAAGGAGTTGTTCTAGTGTCCCAGACCTGAAGAACATGACTAGGCAACACTGCTTTCTTCTGTAGTCTACTGTCTATTTAGACTAAAAGTCAAAATGAACAATAATCCTTTACTGTAAATAGAACCACCTCCTCCAGCACAGTTCAATTCAACTTCCATTTCAGTGGTTTTATTTATAGCAGTTCCTGGCTTTATAACAATGCTCCACACTGGAAATTTGCTATTCCAAAGCCCAAAGCAGTCTTCCGAGCACTCCAGCCAACAGCTCTTGTGACCTCCCTCTATAAAATGCTGAAGGATTAACAGTTGTGAATGGCCACAGCAGCCCTTGGAACATCTGAGACATCAGATGGAGTGTGGGTTAGAAACTCAGTCTCAGAAATTGCTCCTGCCTCAGTACATCTGACAGTAAACAGGAAAAATAAGAGAAAGCCCTCCATATGTTTATTCATTTGGATTTAGTTTTTGAAGCTTTTGTGCAGAACCTGTTGCTTTCTTCCCATTCAGACACATTTGCAGGGATCAGAGAAATTTTTTTAAACACCTACCACAAAATTATGGAAGCATAGAAGAATTAGAACTTTTCCTAGAATTCACCTCCATGCAATCAAGGATTTAATCTTGCATAATTCTGAAGTATTCTGCTGCAATAAGATGAACGTCAAACCTAGGTGATATAAGGGAGTTTATACACTAAGGCCTTCTTGTAAAAAGCACCCATCTGCTTCACGTGGACTGATGGTCAGAACGCAAGTAACACTATTCCTCTTTCAAAGTGACTGAGGAAGAATGAAGTCATTTACTGAAGTTTCCGAAGTCGGGAAAGTGTCAGAGTTGGGAAGAGAATCCATGACTTAAATTTTCAAGGTGAGTAATCCTTTTGGATGCTCACATCAACTGCTTCAAATGCATTGATTTTCATAAACCACCTTCCTATAAAAATGAGGCCCTTCTGAGGTGTTGCAAACGAAGTACTGAGAAAATAAAGCTCACAGAAGTGTTAGTAATTTTTAACTTTAGTGTCCAAAACTCACAGACATCCGCCTCAAAGCAGACTAACCCTGCTATTTCTTCCACAGCCCCTCTGGAAAGATTCTACACCTCCTCTTTTCCTTCTCTCTGAGGGAGGCCATTGTCGCTAGGCCGCCTCCAGAAGAAGATGGGATAATCAAACCTGTCTACCACCAGCTCAGGCCCTCATGGCATTTTTAACATGGGTCATAAAACATGGAAGGTGGCAAGTTGTCTGATTCCAAGATGTAGGCATAAAATCCTCTGCTGTCATAACCCGTCCTCCCAGCCCGTGGTGGGCCTGAAGGAACATCTCAAGGGAGAGAGATGGAGATGAGCCCTCAGCCGGCCAGGAGCTCTCAGCCACCAAGAGCGTGTTTTCTGGGAGCTAGCTGAGTTATTTACGGTGTTTGGTTAGCAACTGGATGCAATGCCAATAAATTGGTTGCTTCAAAAAAACCAAAAAATAATGAAGGACTTTAGCCCAAGGAGGAAAGAGGGTGCGCCATTACACAGAGCATGAGCCGGTCTCTTCACAGGACAGATCTGACAGTGTTTTGGTTACCGTTGCTGGGGGACACATACGTTAGGCCACATGCTTATTAATCATGGAAGAACGATGGCAAAGAATTAAAAAAACATCTCCTACAAAGCACAATTTCTGTAAGCTTCCTCCGGCAAGCCTCCTGCATGAATGAAAAGCCTGTCTTAAAAGCATCTTTCCCTTGTTCAGCTTTGCGAGGAAGAAACATGTTAATAAAGAGGAAAAGATCAGAGACCATCACTGATTGGCAAGACGTGATCTAAAATGTCAATACTGTTTCTGGCTGGTAATTAATAAAACGAAAACACGTGTAACATGTCCCTTCCTAAGCACATCCAGCTGCAGCCTTTTGAACAGCTTTTTCAGCTGAAAGTATCAATTCAGTCAAGTTGCAAAATTAAGTGCTTGTTATCACTTCAGTTTAGCTAAACTGAACAATTTGACCTAATCATCTTTTACTAACTTTTTCAGGAATGAGATTCAATAAATTACACCCAACTGCCCCAAAACATTTAACTCAAAATAAATAGCAACAAACTTCCCCAACTAGATGAAGCCATGGATTCTCAAGTTTTCATATTTCAACTTTCAAAAAAATCCAGAAGTAGGAAAAGAAGATCTCAAGTGGAATTTACCTCAACATCAAAGGAAGAAATCCTGAGAGGATGCCAAACAAACTTTTTTTTAAATAACAAGCTCAATAAATCATTGTTTTTCTACTAGTAATCTAATTAAGAAAAAAACAAACAAAAGAAACCCAACAGAACTGGAAATACCAGGGATACGCTAGGAAAAACAAAATATGGATCTAAACTGAAGGGCTTTTCTCTTCCCATCCACAACTCTATGCAGCAGTGAAACGTATATTTTACATAATATAAGAAAGCAAGAGCAGGTATGAGCAAATTCTGCCTTGGGAAGGTAGCAAGATATGCTTAATAATACAGATGACAGAATGGATGAGGATAAGGGAAAATTGCATTACTCACTGTCCAGCAATGGTTTACTAATTGAGATTAGAGACATAGTCAGTGGAGATGAACCAGCAGAAGAACAGAAATTAAATCCTTGCGGCTGCGATGTCTGATGCATCTGCAGAACAGAAAATAACCACACTCAGCAAATATGTCAAGCATGTCAGCAGCATCCCAACTACAGACTACAGTTCAGTACCCATGTTTACTGAAATTCTCACTTTGAAACAGCAAAAAATTGAAATGATCCTGGTATAAGGTAACAAGTCAGAAATGCAAGGATCACAAAAAATGCAATCAGTATCGCATAGGTGAAATGCAACATTTTGTTTTGTCTTTTAAGTGTAAGACAAACAGAGGGACTCTGGCTGATTGATTTTCTGGCCACTGAAATTACTGCTGTGATGCCAACTCCTCAGCATAGTTGAGGAGATTTTTTACCATGGTTTCACATGGTAAAAAATCTGATGTCTAACAGTGTGTTCACCAAAACAGCCATTCCTCACAACAAGAGAAGACATAAGAGTCTTGACATAACAGCTCTTACAGGCCGGATCTTGTAAGACTAATTTACTGCCTTGATGTACGGCAGTGACTCTAGGAGGTTAACAGACTGGCTGTCTAATGATTCTGGCATAAACCCAGAAAATACTATAGCTGAAACTTTAAACTCAGAAATCCAGGGTGTTTATAGCTTTTAAGACTATAATTGCTTCTTTAATAAAAATAAGCAGAGACTCTCATAATATTGTGGCCCATCTGTCCTTAATAGCTATCATAGACTTCCGCTCTGGAGAGATCACTCTAAATTTTCTTAATATGCAAGTAACATTTTGCTTAAGTGTTGCTTATAATAATTAGCCTTTTGATTCTGGTCACATCTATAAAAGAAAAACAGTATCTTTATTTTCCTCCTACGATATGAAAACAACTTGTAACCTTTAACAGATAAATTAGTACTTGGTATTTGTGTGTATTTTGGGTCTGCAAAAGGCAGCATAAGCATTAATTGTGGAAACCTTGCAACACCTAAGATTGATAGTATCACTACATAGATGCTAAAAAGTTAATAATCCATGATTAGTCATGCAATCAACGGAAGAAAACTGGGATATTTCTTGTTCTTCATCCTAAGACTTCACCCATCAACCACATCGCCCCAAAGAACCAAGGAGCAAATTTAAGACAGGGGAAATTCCTCTGTGTTAAAGATGGAAGACTTCAATATCACACACACAGGGTGGAAGCCTTCACAGTGAAACTGTGTCTTGGGAAAATTACTTGAAAACACTGATGTAGCATTTTCTAGAAATCTAACAGAAATTAGACAGCTTTACCTGGTGATCGTAGTCTCTGATTTCCCCTTGCTCAAGTTCTTCAGAGAGCAAGACGAGGGACCCGCACTGATTGCTGGCAAGTGGACTCCGTCTGAGGTCTTTGGAGCTCAGAGAAGAAGCCTCCAAATTTGTAGAAGGCTTCTTGTTCTCGCCAGAGTCTCCCGCAAGGCCTTCTAGGCTGTAACTGAATAGAAACCATGGAGGTTAGATCCTGACAAATTCTTAGGGACTGGTGTCTTTTAGCACGCAGCACCTTCAAGTGTAAAACACAAGGCAGTCACTACCTGAACTGTGCAAGTAAACGCTGATGTTACTCCTCAGCATGTCACTTCTCAACAACCAAGTGCAGACAGCAGTGGAGGGATTTCTATTTTCTTCATAACTAATATAGCAGCAGCTTTGTGCCTCTAACGAGACATGGTAGTTGCTTGAGAACAACCATTCAAACTCTTGGTCAATGGGCTTTCCCACTTCCCCCCCCCCACCTCTTTCTTGAATGGTTCACAAGAAAATCTAGAAACACCTCTTTTGAAGATTTTGATATTTCCACGTATTCTCTTTGCTAGCTTTTTTATTATCCCTGGGAATAAAGCCACCCAAATTAAACAACCTCACATAGCACAGTAGTGCCTGTCCTAGACTACCACCCCTCCCAGCAGCTACAAAATCAGCTCTGGGCTGCTTGTAACGTTCATCTCTGCTGACTGTTTAGCACTTGCCACTGCACAAAGCATCAGCACTGATAATGTCCTTCTTTTTCCCAAAGCTGGTTTCCTTTATTAATCTTCTTACTGTTTGGGTTTTTTTTTTAATTATTATTTTATTCAAAAAAAGATGTCTTCATCAGCCAATCAACCCTATTTTATCATTTGCTGATGAAGCTAACTCTGTCCAGTGGAGCCAGACATAATCACTCAAACCTATACAAAATTCCAAACTTTTGCTTGCAGAATTGACAGTAATAAAAGCTTTGCCCAACCTCTGTAGAGGTTCTCACCTACACAAAACAATCTGTCTTTCACATGTGATTATTTTCATCTCATCTTTCTCGGCTTTGATATTCTTCTGACCTCCTGCACACAGTGTCCTGCTAGCTTGAAGCAGAGGCCCACCCTGGATATACATCCCAACTTGAGGCTAATTGTGACATTTAAGTGGCCAGCAAGCTGACATATAAGCAAAAGAAAGGGAGAACACGCTATAGATTGTGCAGATTATTTTAACAACCAGAGGAGCTTTAAATTCATGTAGACACTTGCATAGTAGTGATTAATGTTCTGCATTCCTTTAGAGGCATTAAGTAGCTGACAAATATGCATCTTCAAAGTAAAAATTGCAATAAACCTTAAATAAGAAGATTTAGTAAATTTTTTAAGCCTTTTTTATGGTAGCTAATGAGAAAAAAAAAGACTGGTTCAGGCATTTACAGTTTAATCTGCTTTAGGAGATTTTGCCTCAACAATGTATACCAATAGCAGGCATTATAAAGTTTATTTTAACACCTGCAAAGTCCCATTTCTACTGATTCTTTAGGGTGGAAGATCATGTATTTTTTTGCATCCCAAGGTGATAACACTATTACAACGTACAGAATAAGCACCCATGTAGTTTGTTGTGACATAAACAGCTCAAAACTGCGAATCTTAGACCATAAAATAATAATCAGTGGGTGATGATGCTGTTCTGTAATTTGTTGGTCAGGCTATATAGACCTACTGTAATTAAATATGTAACAGGAAGGGCAGATCAACTTCTTTCTCAATGTCTAGTCTTCAGAAAAAGCGTTTCTTGCTCTATGCACAACTGGCAAACAACTGCCAGAGGGAAGTTATGAAATCTGTGAGACTGGCTTCCAGGCAGTGTCAGGTGAAGATCTGACCTGTAAGCATCAATCCTGACTCCGGGACTTTCTATGGAAGATGCAGGCTTTAAATAACTGGGAAATTTTCATCTGTGGCTATTAAATTGTTTTTATACAGGAAGTTTTACATGATTAGCATCTTTAGGAAAAAAGCCACAGATCTTTCAATTTACAAAGATCGAGTCTGTATAAACTTAAATCCTTTATGAGATCCATCCAGAACAAAGCGGCGCTGAATCACATGAACCCTTGGTTTGATTCTTTGGCTGTCGCAATCATCATTATGAACATTGCAGCAGAAAACATACGCCTTAAAATCATCACGGAATAGAGCAGCTCAAACCAACCGTGCAGCTTCTTTAATGCTTGAGGCCAATGACAAGCAGCCACCACCTTCACCTGCACCCCAGTTCAGAAGACCCATTCCCAAGACTAATTGCTGGAAAAGCAGATGAAGCAAACAAACGTGTGCAGGCTTCAGCCAGAGCAACAACGGAAAAGGCGATGCACGAAAAGCTGACAACAGGGCGTTTGCAGTGCTCCTTTGCTGCTGCCGCACATTTATTTATACCATACCTTCTACAAGAAAAGTCAGGACCCATGGGAATGAACTGTACACCAGAGGGACACCAGCTCAAACTAGGAACATCAAAAAAGGCAAAGAAAGGAAAAGGGCTGTGATTATTGGATTGTTACGGAACAGGGGAATGTTAAAAGACTCTCACTCTTGCATATCTTAGAAAAAACACCAACAAACTCAGGAATAACGCGGTAGCTACTATATATTTCTGGCTGCCAGCACACACCAGAGTGCCCCAAGTGACTGAGGTTATTCCTAAACGGGTAGCAGGACAGTCCATGCTCCCCCCAAACCGATCCCACCGGCGAGCATGTAAAGAACTCTCCTTGTGGGGAGAGAAGTTCTTGTGGAAAACAAGGCTGAAACACACCAAAGGCAATTCTGAATAAGTAATCACACACAGCCATTGTGTTAGTAATGATTAGTATTTTTCTGGTACCTCTCATCCCCAGATCAGAAAAAGAATCCCTTAGAGATATTTATTCATTGAAGTGCCCTCCATACAAGTATTAATAACCTCAGGCTACGCTTGGGAAAAATAAGAAGAGAATTACATTCTTAAATGCTGCACAGCAAATCAGTGAAAGAAGCTGGAAGAAAAAAACAGGCTCTCTTTACTATTCACTTGGGACTAAATCAAGAGTCCTTCAAATAGTACTTTGACTAGAAAACCTTTCAGCTCCCATACCCCAGTAGAGTCCCAAGTTGCATCAGGAAAGATATAAGAAATGCAAATACAGAATGCAAATATTTTCAGTGTTATTTTAAACACTGCTTTTGTTATTTTTTTCTCTGTCAGCTTGTGGCCCAGTTGTGGGTTTTGCAGACACAGAGAAATCAATCTTCTTGTCAGCTATGACACATAAAGGATCCCTAAATCCTGGAAAAGCTGTCCAGGAAACATATGTTGTCTGGAGGGAATTTTGCATCAGCAGAGATCTGCCAGAGCAGCGCTGCACAAGCCCTGCTCCCAGCCCCTGGCCTGTGATCCACACAGGGAGAGGACACGGCCAGAGCACACTTTGCTCCAGGCCAGGAGCCTATGAAAAGGGCAGAACAATTCTAAGCATCCCTGGGCCAGGATTTGTGAATGCCAGAAGCCTCAGAGGGCACAGAGGAAGGTTTAAAGCCACTGACTGCATCATTTCATGCCAAGTCCTCGTGTAGTTTCCATACACAGTACAACACTGGAAACATTCAGGAAGGATTTGACAGTTCGTGTTCCAAGGTGGAGTTCAGATAATTGTTACCTGTTTTATTAAGGATGTCAATTGGGCAAGGATGCACCTGGAGTTCCTGTGCTTTGCATGCCAAAGCTCCAGGTGTGCTTCAGCAGTAGCTCTCAGCACAGTACCATAAGCATTCTTCATGAAGACATCTTCCCATAACATGCCAATAGTTTTAAGTAATTCATCATAACCATCCAACTAAACCATGGTGGCAGATGTAAGTATTACTGAGGGCTGGGGGGGCTAAATACTTCATAAAAGAATCTAGCCCTGCCCCCATAAACTCATCTCCATCACACATCACAGCCTGCACCCTCAGGCTTGGGTGCAGCCCCCCAGCAGGTCAGTAAAACCTGCCCAGCGGAAGGTAGATGGAGGCTGAGAAAGAATCCCAAGGAAGGTATCATACGTGTTTCCCTGCTTCCCCCAGCCATCTACTTGTGGCCTCAAGACTACTGGGTTTTGGTAGACCCTTGGAGCGATGCTGTTGACTCGTTTGCAGAAGTCAATAATTCTTGTGTGGTCACTTTTCAATTGAAGGAGAGAGGATTTTCCTCACTAAAGAAATGATGCAACATTTACACTAGAGAGTGCACTTTAAAAGATGCCTCTATTCCTGACCATGGGAAAGGAAGCAGAGAGGGAAGGAGAGGAGCCCTGCATGTATGTAGGAGGAAGCCTGGAAGTGGTGGAAGGACTCAGAGAAGGAAAGAGACCTCTTGGCAAGGACTGTGGAAAGCAGTCTTACAGAATTACAGTCCTGCTAGGGAGCCACCCACAATCTGTTGGCAACACCATAAAAACCAAACAAGATCAATGCAGAGGACGCAAAACCCCTTTACAGAAGATGACTTGGGGAGGGGGGATGAGCTATTATATACATCAGACTTGTGGGAGAGCATAAACTGCTGGAATTGGTTTCAGGCTGTTGCTCTGCAACTGGGGGTTGGTACCAAAATGGCTGGGAGGCCAGAAAAAAAGAAAAGAAAAAAAAAAGAGAATGCTTATGAAAGAATTGACACACATTTCAGATATGACTAGGTATTTTAGGTTGCCTATTTGCGACATTTTCTTTATGCTGCGTGTAAGCTCAGTGTTTCAGGATATTATGACTCTAAATAGTAACACAACTCCTACAGAGGAGCCTTAACAGACAACTGGTAACAAGATGTTCATTTGCATGAGCTGAGAAGAGGAGGCTGCGCTGCTCCCTCCAGAGCACAGAGCGATGCAAATAAAGTGGCTTCGTAGAAGTAAAAAAGCGTGTTCTTTCTTGTGCCTTTTTTAAAAATTCTATTTTAAGAGCCCCCTCCTGAACTGTACAGCACCGCTCACACGGCCTCACTTATGCTGATGCACAGTAAGACAGGGTGATTTTTTTGGTAGTAACATCAGGATAGCATTTTTTCCCCTATGTGGAAATATGGGAGTCTGCTTACACGCACACATGTAACCCCATCCATCGCATGGGAAACACAACCCTGAGTTAACGTGCCACAGGAGGAGAGGTTGCA